TTCATAAAGAAAATTCCTGTGCTTCAGAGAAAACGGGATATAGAATTCCGAAACATAAAAGTTGTATATTATCGGATTTTTAAACTTTTTTCATTTTTTCGAATCGCCGCAACTTACGGCAATTCATCTGATCAGGGAAATCAAAATGTTATTGGATTTCTTAGAATGTGCACTTGAAGAAAAATCGGCCCACTTTTGCCCGAATTTATATTTCTAGAAGAAATTCGTCACTGAACGGATTGCAAGGCATCGGTCGGCACGGCACAAGTTTACTGTTTTTTTTATTTCACACTGTTTCGTTTTTTTAAAACAATATAGATAAGCATTATTGGCGTCTCGTCTCAGACGGGCCGTCTCGTAGGTTTGATTGGTTTGACGCAAAATGGCGGAACCAATAAGGTGTCTCGAATCTGTACTCTGAACGCGGGATTATTATTATTATTATTATTTGGTTACCTTTGGTCTGTTTTTTTTTATATGAAATTCGGAATCAGCGACCCTGGAAACTTAAAGGGTGCAAGTTTGAAAGAGGTTAGTTTACTTTATTAATTTTGGCCACTTTTTCGGGTCTCCCGGCCCACTGTGCAGTGGGAGAAAACGTACGCGGGCAATAATTGTAATTTTACATGTAATTTTTTTTACAAATACTTAACAAAATTGTAACATTTGCCCAAAGTAGTCATTACCAAATCCATCCCACCCCCCCCTGACGCGTATCCCGAGAATCAGTACGAGAAATCCGATAAGTCTTGGCACGTGGGTACGAGAGTCTCTCCCCGTTCGACACGCGCGCGAACTCGCGAGGCTCCTCCGACGGCAACGACGCCGCGACGGTCGCCGACGGTGGCGGAGATGATGGCGACGGTGGTGCGTCGCCCGTGTGTATCAACCCCATTCACTCGGGGGATTAGCCTTCGAGATCGCTGACTGCTGAAATGTTCACAGATCGGTTTACCGTTTAGCAGGATAGAGAGTGTGAGCCCCGTGATCCGTGGCCCGTGTGAGCACCGTGTGTGCACACGCACCCGCGCGCACGCGGGCGTACGGGGCGCACGCGTGTAGTACAATGTTAAAACGGAAGCCGCCCCCGTGTACCACGCCGCGCCACGTGTACGCGTGTGCGTGTGTTTAAGCGTACAGAGAAGGCGCCTACGCCTACGCCGTCCCGCACCGCTGTGGGAACTCGCATTGTGGACCACACGTGCCGGCCGGAGAGTATTACGGCGGTCCTGTGTGTTCATAGGTGTACGATAAGATGATGTGTATGTGTCGGTATAAGTGAGATGAGAGAGAGAGGAGGGGGGGGGAGGGAGAGAGAGAGGGTGGGAGAGAGGGAGAGGAAGAGAGAAAGAAACACAGCGGAATCACGAGATGAAAAGCGAACAGGGCGCGGTCCATTCCAGCGCATGCGATTCTAATCCCCGACGCCGTGTCCATTCGCCGTCCGGATACGCACGTACTCTCGAAAATCGCTCGTCTAAGCCGTTGAAAAAATTTGGAGGTGGCTACGACGGCAATCCAACTTGCGTCTTCGAAGACTCGGGGGAGGGGGGGCATCTTGGCAGGAATTCTCTCGCGACAAATTTTTATATATAATTTTGCACATAGCACTTTATAACCCAATGAGAAATGATTCGTCGAAAACGACGACTCGACATCGGTCGACGAGTCATTTTATCGTCTTTTTATTTGGATAAAAATTGCGGGGGCGAGCTCGAGTCTAAAATTGAGGAGATGCCGGTAAACTAGAGAAGTGCGTGAGTAATTGCAACGATTCGACATTCGATCTTCGATCGGTCTTCGCGCGGGGCTAAGAGATCAATTTGTCCCGTGCGTTTCTCTATGCCGAGAGCTTTTCCCTTGACGCACATTCGTTTCCGCTTCGCAGAACTTAAGCCGCTCAGCTATAAAGCTCTGTATTTGAGCAGCGATGCGTGCAGAGCGACAAAATGTTCCTCCTTGATCGCGAGATGTTGCGAAAAGCGAGGCGCTTTTGTGCGAAAAAGGCGAGCTTAATGGACGTGGCTGCGAAAAAACAGATCGTTTCCAGTCTTTGATTCGCGGCAGATTCGACGAGGGCCGATAAAATTAAGACCAAAATCTGTGTTACTCGAACAACATTTCGCATCTTACGCGTGAATGTAGGAAAAATGTGCTGCGTTTAATTGGAAATTTGGCATTTTTTCCAGTCTAAAATTTGCCTGGGATTTATTATCTTTTGCAGCTTTTGTTTCTTTTAATTTTGATATATCTTAAATTTTCAATACTTTGATCGCAGAAACGACCGAAAATATACTCGGAATATGTAGCTAAAAAATATTTATCTAATGTCAACATTACGTGTATTTTTATGGAAATTTTCCCGTTTTAAATCTTTCAAAGTAAAACCTATTTCCTTGTATAATTGTATCAAGAATCGCGTATTATAATCAGGTTGCAATAAAATTGTGAGAAATATGTGCAGACGATACACCGGTCTCGAAGGGTAATACCGTTGCTGCATTGAACGTAGAAAATCATTGTTTGTAAAGTAAACAGGTCTTTTCATTGGGCGCGTTTTTCCGGCAAGGGAGCTCATCGTTGAAAGAACAATTACTCTTGGAAAATAATAATATTTGTACCTGTTACGATGTGCACGGCCAATTTGGTCGATAAAGCAAACAACCCCGAAGCGGATTTCGCATCGCTTCTTTTTACTGCGTGCACGCGTGTCTGCGCACATGAAACCGCCGCTTCAATTTGGAAAAACATCTCTCTTTTACGTATCTCAACTTGCTTATTGACGACGTTTCGTAATGATAAGATTCTGAAAGCGTCGCGGGAAGCACGCGTTTCCAATGACGGTATCTCGAAGACTTATAGTTCCTGGTATACCGGACTGGTCATCGAAAAACATATAAAATTCTTTATCATCAGTTACAGAACAAAAGGAAATGTTAGTATAGACGACCGTAATAGACGCAGAGACGCAGTTACAAGGGAGTTGATAAAAAATTAGCATCTGCTTAAGGAAACGCTCTACCCTTACGGAAGAAACACTCAAGTTTTGAGTGTTAACACTCGATTGTCCGAATTTACTCTCAAAGTTGGGCGTAAACACCCAGATTTAAGTATTAAATTTACACTCAAATTTGAGAATAAATTCGGACAATCGAGCGTTAACACTCAAAACTTGAGCGATTTTTCCGTAAGGGTATCTCATGCACTATGGCGGAAGATAAGAAGTCCTTACGTTATCAATAGTGTTTGATTATCTATTACAATATTAATTTTCTGTTCATTTCGTCTGGAAATTAAACTTCTTCAAAATTGCCATAGAATCTCGATACTATTTCTCGAATATTTTGTATTAATAATTGGATAAATAATCAGGGTTGGGAAGTAACTCGTAACTTGTAACAAAGTTACAGTTACAGTTACTTTTTTCGGTAACTCTAACTTAACTTTGTTACTTTCTTTCCATCTGTCACTGTAACTTAACTCAGTTACATTTTTTCGATAACTAGTAACTAATTTAATAGTTACATTAATAGTTACTTTATACATTTTTTGAACCTCCACAGATCGCATTAGGCTTTGCATTTGCCAACCCTGTAAATGACAGAGGACTGTCGATAATGAAATTAACAAATTACAAGTAAAACGGGGTTTTGAAATGACGATACGTTGAAGTTAACGTTACATTGATCTTTACCCTTTTCCCAGTTTCTTTAATACGTTGACAGTTGAGATAGCAAACATTTTTGCTATTTAAGGGACGCCAGCAATATCAGAAATTTTTTAAATATATGTTGATATATTAAACAGCAGTAACTTTTCTTCAAATGAGAAAAACAAACAAGTAATCGTTACAAAAGATACACGAGTAAAAGAAAGAAACGATAAATATTTTTGATTAAAAGAAAATACCAATCCGGTATTTTCCAACCAGATTCCCACTAAAGAACTAAATAAAGACGCGTGTCGCCAAGTGGAAACGGTCGAGAAAATACGGCGTACTGCGATTAGGCAGCGAGCGAGACAATGGCCGACGTGCCGAGGACACGCCAGGTTTAATAAGCATACATCGTTTCTCGAGAAAAATTGGATTCCGGCGGTTAAAACGTCCCGAGAAGAAATTCCCATTGCGCCAGTGGCGAAGTATCTCTCGGCGGGGCGATGCGTGATAAAGGGGAGATATTGCGACGCCAGTGCGAACGTGGGAATCCGCGGCTGCTATCCGCTCAGCCTCATTAATGATGATGTGCTTGCCACCCAGTTGCAGCTCTCGCTTCGCCATCTCGCTCTATCTGTCTTCCTCCCCTACAGCGTCCTCTGCTTCCTCATCCCCTCTCTCTCTCTCCCCCACCCCTCTCTCTCTCTCTCTAGATTTGCAGCCACGCTCGAAAGATCGAGCTCTGTGGAAGCTGACGCCCGGCCAGCCACCACATCCGATCTACACCACCCTCTTTCATCCGCGATTCACCCCCTCTTCCCTCTCGACCTCTTGTTCGCCTCTCCCCCTCCGCCCCCGTCCCTCATCGGGTCACGGGATATACAGCTCTCGTACATCTCGAACGACCTACAACGCGCGTTACACCCCGAATTCAATTCCGCGCAACCTGCGCCCACTTTTTCGCTCCCACCGTTAAGTCCATCGCCGATATTATTGATAGGCGTTTTCTAGATACGGACCTTCGATCGCTGGAGGGCGAGGGTGCACGAGGGTATTTTTCATTGAGCTTCAGAAAGGGTTGAGAGCGCTTATTCAGCATTGCCGGCTCTTAAACGTGTTAATTGCGCGATAGTGTGAAAGAACTTTGTCGGGTCTCTTCGAAAGTACGTGTACCCGTGTAACTTTTTCCATAAAAGAAGTAAACAATAATTGCGTATGGTGTAAAGTACATTTGGGAGAATAGAAGCTTCCACCGTAGTATCCCTCTGGTGAGCTTCGTGGTACAATCGCGATGCGATCTGTCAGACGTCAAAAGTAATATAATTACGTCATAACTGGTGTTTAGCAGTGCAACATGAGCGCGGACCGAGGAAACCGAAACCCCACGCGATTATCTCGTCGGAGAAGCAGCATCAACAACAGTCGCCGATTGTCACGCAGTTGTCTCCTCACTCCGCGGCATCGGTGCACAATGATCGGTTAAGACCGGCACTCGCTCCCCCGTATATTCTCTCGCCGCACAGGTGCGTAACGTTTGCACTAATATACCTTGATCGCCGTTAAATTAAAACGTTCGTCTTACCTAAAGGCCGGCGCCCACGATGCTAGAACTTGGTCCAATCCATTTGCAGCTATTATGGAATTGGCTACACATCTCTCGAAACTTGGACCGGGTTCTAGCATCGTGGACACAGGCCTTGAAATCGCATATCGATACGCGATTGTACTGACGAGTGATAGAGAGCATGAGCGATCGAGTAACAAATCTAAGCAGAAAATAAAAGGCACGGTTGGTTTTTGGCTTTTCGCATTTACTATTTTTACTATTACGTGTTGAGAGAAGCGATTGTATTATTCCGATTTGTTAACATGCGCCTTGTGCAAGGTGTCCATCACCGCATTAACAGCAGATTCTGTCATCAATCTGATGTTCATCTATTCTTAATGAGAAACACTGTAAGCAGCAATAATTTTTATAGAAACAGTCAATGAATATAATACACGCGGACCGTATATTCTTTATACGCAAATATCACTTCGACAGAATCTTAATTCTTTGGTCCAGATCATTTCTTGCAGATAAAAAGTAAAATGCGCCATCATTAGCGTTTGCAAACGCAGATATTAGTATTTTAACACATAATGATACGTGTAAATAATATTTTTAACGTGTTTCACACGTAATGTTTCGTATAACATACTTTAACATTTGTTTACAACTTTGGGACGGTCAATTTTAATTAAGTCTTATTTGGCACGTATCAATGTAAGGAATAGACTGTAAAAATTCGAAACCATTCTCACATAAATGATTTTACGAAATAACTACCTTAACCGACAAAGCGGTTAATGCGGTGGTGGGAAGAGACACTCATCTCCCCCCCCCTCCCCCCGCCGCGTAGCTACAGAGAATGATAAAATTTCATGAGGCGACGTAGACTCTTCGTGAAGTAGTTAAGGGTTGTTACTGTAGAAGGTTAAGGTGCGACCAAAGATTCACGCCTTACCCACGACCGATGGCGCTGGTACAGAAACCGCCGGAGGAATCACCGTCCCCCGTACCGCTGATCCTACCGCACCCTCGCACGACCACGACCCTCTACCAGGCGGCCACCACCGTCTCCCTAGCGCCGCAGCCACCCCTTCTGCAGATACTAATGTCCGCCGAGGAGTGTCAGGTAAGTAATTCAGCTTAATTTCGGGAGGCCCCGCCGCCCCCGTTTCATTCCTGCAAACTTAATAAAGGCGGATCGCTCCGCTCGGTTTCTGCCACGCGGTGTCTAAACGGGCAAATTACACGCAGGGATTATTATTAACGTCGACCGCTCGGCGAAAATGGAGACAATACCTTTGCCTCGCGGGTGTTAATTATTACGGCCCCGTTATGCGCGACGGGCGTATTGTTTGAGATTATAGGCCGGAGTTATATAAAATCGATAAGACATAGGCAAAAGCAAGCGGATCGATGGCAGATATAGCGGACAACCATCCTAATTTGTAGCTGTATATACAATTCTTTAATGCATTACGTTTTTATTTCCACGAAAGAGCGGGATTTCCCTCTTTCTCAATATTTATTTTACAGAGGTAGATACACCGATCACTTATCCACCCATCGCACACCTCACCACTTGCTATATGTCACTTTGCATTCTTTTTTTCTTGTGTGAGAAAGTTTCGTGCTCTCGTTGTACAAATTACCGCCTCGCTTTGCCGTAAGGAACTGGTTTGGAACGCGCGACTGCAACCCACGGCGGAATATCCGATGGAGCAGATGGAGACGGAGACGAGTCGGAGTCCGACGGGCACCGTGCAGAGCTTCAGCCCGACCTGGGAGATGCTGCAGGTACCTTTTCAACACTTCCTCGTCGCGTGTCTTCTTCTCGGTTTGCCTTTAATCGTCCGCACCGTCCACACTTAAACGTTAACGCAGGAGACGACGGCTCGACTGCTGTTCATGGCCGTCAGATGGGTGCGTTGCCTGCCTCCTTTTCAAACAATATCGAAGGACGATCAGCTGCTGTTGCTGGAACGGTCCTGGACGCAGCTGTTCCTCCTGCATTTGGCGCAATGGTCCGTCTCTTGGGACATCACCGCGCTCCTCGAGGACGAGCAAGTGCGCAGCAGACTACCCACGGACGACAGTCCGACGAACCAGGAGCTCGTCCTTATTCAGGTTTTTACCCTTCCGCGCGTAGAAAGCCATAATAAGCGTCGTGAGAAACGTCGATATCGAGCGAAGCCTCTCCCTTGACAAAAAGATTAAGTATTGTTATTCCTGGTGGAAATATTTGGCTGAAAATATAATGAAATTTTGCGGAATGTATTTGAAAGTCTCTCTTAAATTGAGACCCCGCTTCATTATTATTTCATTAACATTTCAGTAAAAATCCAATGGAAAATTATTTCAGCAATCCTTCGTCGGAGAGTAACGCATTTTTTTACGTTGAATTCAGTAAAACTCATAATATTTGATATTTCGTGTGTTTTTGTTACAAAAATTAAGTAAGATCAACAGACTCCGGTAACAAAATCAAAAAAGAATCAAAGAAACGGGCAATAGGAGTCAACGCAGGAAGTTATGTGTGAAATATAATGTATATAGTTTAATACATAAAATAAAAATAATGTATATTCAGGCGTCATAATGTATATTATTTTTATTTGGTGCATAAAGCTATATGTATCTCACACATAACTTCTTGTGTTGACTATCGCCTGTTTCTTTGTTTTTTGTTTTTATTATTTTTTAACAGTATACTGTAACTTTCCTTATATTTTATAGTATTGAATTTCGTAAGGAAAATTTATGATTCATTTTGCGATACATTTAATAATTTTTTGACATCTTTCATTTCGCTTTTTATCATAGTATTTTCAGCAAGAAAATATTTCCATCGGAGATCTCGTTGTTTGCAGTTTTTTATTCGGCCGGTCCGCGTTAAAATCTCCAACAAAGATCTCTAAAGACTCGGATGCTACGAAGTAAGCAACAAACGCCAACGAGAATTTTGTTAAGAAGGTGAATCTTGAGAAGATGAATTCTTACAGTTTCTCGATTTCGGCGCGAGCGTTTCTTTTTCCAGTCTCCTCCGCAGACTCGCAAGGTTCGTTTCAACGGAGTGTTCTCTTGCGTTCCAGGCTATAATCTGCCGATTCAGGCAACTGTCCCCCGATTTCGGCGAGTGCGGCTGTATGAAAGCAGTGGCCCTGTTTACGCCAGGTAAAGAGCGCCCTTAAACGTAAACTAATTGTCATACCAGCGTATATTCGGCACACGGATTTATTCCTAAATTTAACGCTCGTTGCAAAAGCGTTCCGTACAGCACGCATGTCTAAACGACATCTTTGAGACGTCTTTAAGTCGTCTTTTAGACATACGTGTCGTTTGGGATTGAAGGCGCGAATTCAGTTACCCAATGTATCGCTATTGATTTTATATCATTGATATTCTTATTGGGGTGGAGCGAAGCTGTTTCGTTGATTGTCAGTTAAAGAAACATTCGGATAAAAAATTGTCAAGGCAGAAAGGGGCTCCTTAAGTCATGAGGTTTTTTAGCTTTTTGGCTTTTCATTTTGAAAATTTTTGCTCTACCTTATATTTATTCTTTTACTTGACTGTATTGAATAGAGGAAAGTCCCCTATGATAGAATAGGCTCCTAATATGAGATAGCTGAGCTTCTGCTAAATTAATAGAGTCCATCTAATTAGTTCCACCAGGAATTTATTGCCCTTTTAATAATATTATTAAGATACAATTGTACATTCTTGCGAAAAGGTATTTGCATTTAATTGCTTACGTTGATGATTTATCTACGGTAAACGTGCTCGAATTTGTGTACTTTTTTATTGTACGTTATTTTATATTGTAGTTTTACAATCGAGTGAAATCTGTTTGGTGGAAAATTGATTGTCAGATCGTGTGATCGTTGCGCGAAAAGATTTGTAATTGAATGTGGACGTTGAGAACCTACTATCTCGTATTATAATACAATCTCATAATGGAGAACTTTTCTCTCCGCTTCTCAAAATGACTTTTTCGAAATCCTCAAATGATTTATCAATCGCGTCACCCTCGAAGTGCCGATCGCATTTATTTCTCATATAATTATCTCGTGCAATTCTGTCGCTTGTCAATCGAACGTCGTACACGTGATCTCTCTTTGTAAATCGCAGAGACAGTAGGCCTGCACGCGGTCCAGCCCATTGAGATGCTGCAGGATCAGGCGCAACGTATTTTAGTGGATTACACGAGGTCACGGTATCCGCAGCAGCCCGGTAGAATCGGCAGGCTGATGATTCTGGTCGGATACCTGAGATGCGTCTCTTCCAAGACTGTGGAACGTCTGTTCTTTCACGAGACCATCGGGGAGATACCGATCTCGCGCTTGCTGGTCGACATGTACCAAATGGAGAAGTATATCAACTGAGGCAAATTTTGCATATCGTACACGTACGCGCGCCGCACACGTCATAAGTGTGCGAGGACCACAGCGAGCTCGCAGCTTTCCGAAACTCTTCCGACTCTCTCACATGTAGAAACGACAGAATAGAATAAGAGAAAAGTTTTCGAAATCTGTAGTGCCCCTCTCCCCCCCCTCCCCTCCCCTCCCCTCTTCGCCCCGAAAATTTTCACTTTGCTGGTTTTCGCCGTCGCGAAATTTTGTGTAACATATCGTTGATATCCCGCGCGGAAGGTGGATTTTACTGTTTTATCGTCGGGTCGTAAGATGAGATCTCTACACCATTGTTGTTGAAGAAACAATCGCTCCTTTGTCGGTTATTTTTATAGAAAGCACCGTAGAGTGTTTGGCTTTCCCGTTGATTGAATTTGTTATTTAAGTAAAAAATTTTTTCCATACTTTTAATAATATAATTAAGATGCAATCGTACGCTCTTTGCGAAAATGCATTCGCATTCAATTGCTTGTGTTGATGGATTTATCTACGGTAAACGCGCTCGAATTTATGTACTCTTTTATCGTACGTAATTTTATATTGCAGTGTTACATTCGAGCGAAAACACAATGTCCAAATATATTCAAGAAAATGTGAACAATGATCAACACGTTTCTGGTGACACCGGGCATTCTACTTACAAAGGCCCTTGTACTATCCACTAAACTATCGCATTTCTAAGTAAGGTTTACGTCATTGCTACATCAAACAGTCGTGTTTCTTTTATGCATGACCATCCAAATGAAAAAGAACGACGAAAGCAAATTTACGCGGAGTATCTACTTCAATTCATATATGTATATCCCAACGATTACGAAATGTAAGAAGAAGTAATGGAAATATATGCGCGTTTCGTTGCAAAACCCGAGCTTTCAGTCAGTGTAGATCACAACAGTTTTAACGAAAGAGATCATTGTTTTGCTATATCGTTTAAGCGTTTGCTTGTAAACGTTTTTGTAAAATGGTAATAACATACGCCCAAACATATTATTTCGTGTAACAGCTGATTTCTAATTATACGCCTTTAGAATATTTCATATGCTAGACAGAGCAATTGACTGTAAAACCATTGCGAAAATTGTACTCGAAGAAATAATTGAGAATCTGCAATGCACCATACGTCCCTCTCTGTGATTCCCCGTGAGTAACGAATTATTATGCCAATTCGTTTTGTTGAATAATCATGATCGTGGAATAAATATCATATACGTATTGCATCAGCATAAAGCTAAGTCACACGATAAAAATAACGTAGGCGACGGAAGCATCGCAATGCAATTATTACAGGTGGAAAAGTACGGTATAACAATGTAAAAAGTGTGGTATAATAATGGTGCTCTAATTTTTTTATATCATTGCTTTGGTAAAATATAAGTTTATTCGTAAGACTCGCTCTCGAGTGCAGTGCGGAATTATTATTACGAATGACAACGTCGAACAAAGTCGTCGAATGAAAAAACATGTATCATAAAGCGAAGCTGTACTCCACAATATAATTGTTATATCCTCAAATTCTTTTGTTAATAGAATTATTAAATTTGTTATACAATAACGTAAAAGATATTATATAGCATGCAGAATAAGCTCTATTCTGTATTAATAAATGTCTCATACAAATAAACGTCTGTAATTCATTCTAATGTATTAAACTTCGTCGATATTAGACCAAACCGAAGTTCTTTTTTTATTACAATCTAAGGTAATCACCTACACATTATACAGAATTAATATGCAGTGTATATGTATAACAATATACATATAGTGTATACACAATAATAAATATACGAATATATACACTATTGTATACATACATGTAATACACGAATATAATACAGTTGTATGTTTTTATTAACAATTATAAAATAATGTATTCATAACGCATTTTAAAAGAGTAAAGTCTTTATTGAATTGTTATCATCAAACAGTACTTTATTTTCGTATGTCAATATTATTTTTACTTTCTAACGTGAACAACTGCCTTCGCTTCATTATTGGGCTTCGTTACGATAGTTACCCGTAATGAAATTGATCTGCAAGTATATAATATATGCTAGACGATAATATGTAAGATTATACTTCACAAAATTAGCTAGCAATTGATCTCATTCTTCTTTCTTAATGAGGACAACCCAGTGAACACCCAGCATTTATGTTACAATTTCTCACTCAACAGTGTAAATGTAATATAATATATGTGTTATATAAATGCAATGTAATTGATGTTCGGTGGTCACTGAGAATAAATCACATATGTATAAATTTGAGGAATATTACTTTTCGATTTATCACATGTCGGTTATATCAGTCACTCTTTTTCTTCAATGCAGATGGAATGGAGATAAAAATTTTTGGAGTGGTGTAGAAATCAAGTTAAGTGAGGGGAGGGGGGAGGAGAAATATCGTTGTATTCTTTCAGTTTATTTCTAAATAGCAATATTTTTCAAATTTAAATGGAGGTGATATATGTCATATAATTATTAATGTGTATATGTATACAGATATTGATAAAATTTGTTTTACAAAATATGATTTTAAGAAAAGACTATTATATTAAATTATAGTGCATGCTATTACCTTGGGAACAACACATATACATTTATATAATCTACATGCATCTCTGTACATAGATACTGTACATTAATATTCTTTGATAAATTATCACTTCATTTATTCTTGCGACTTTATTTGTTCAATTTAAAAATTGAATCGACTATCTCCAAGAATTTTATAATATTGATATGGTGCGATACTACATTTATCGAAGGTACATCTCGCATTTTTCGTAGAGGGCCTCACTTGCTTGACAACGCACAGTAGGTACTTCGAAACTTTGGTTATCGGCGAATAATCTTATTGAATAACGTTTATGCCATATATGTTATTAACATTGATAGAATTATTAAGTTTTTCTCGTTTAACGTATGAAAAAGGGATTAGATAGATAACGAATTATATTAATTTGAAATTTTACTGATTGAATTATTCGCCGTGGCAGTTAATAATCTGCAGATCTTTGGTCAAAGTCACTCATAATGAACGAAAAGATCCTGCATTTCTAAACTCTTTTTAGAAAGCACTTCCAACTTCTGTAACAAAAATTTTACAGCTTTTTTTGTAATAAATTTTACTTATCTTCAAATGTACTCTTAAAATTTCAACTTCAGAGATTCGGTTTTCTTATACATATATGCAAAAAAACCGAGATTCACAGATAACATTGAAGAGTATTAACAATACCGATCGATGATAAATACCATCAAGCAACATCACAGTCTTCACTCTGTATACGTGAAACGTACAAATTTAACAATTTCATGATGTTTAAGAGATTAGTCGCGACTTCTAGGCGATTCTTCCCCACATAGCACAACGACATTACAGTGATATCAGTGTGATATCTGTTTAAGGATATCCCATATCCCAGAGATATCTTGAGATATCCAAATTACATCAGTGTGATATTACGGGAATATCCAAATGTCCGCCTTTTATCACATCTCAAGTTAATATCTAAGAGACGTCTTTGTGATGTCCCAAAATAATGTTAACCTTTTTATTCTAAAAAGAGATCGCAAGGACGTCTCTGTTACGTCCCATTGCATGTTACGTCACATTAATATTATTTTTTCTAAATTAATATTATTTTTATTCTAAAAGGATATCCCAAATAGCACAAGTCCGTCCTGAACGTCCTTGTGCTATTTGGGTAATAGAGGGGTAGTAAAACATCAGCAGGTTACCTATTAAAAAATCTTAATTTTTTAAAACTAATTTTTAAATTGTGTTAAATTATTAAATCATCAAAAGTATATTTAGGTCATTAAAGTTTTATCCATGATTGAGACAACCTGCTGTCGAGTCATATCGGCTCGCCTCTTATACTAATACGGGATGATTTTTCCTTACGAGAAAGGCTAACGCGCTGTCGCCACGTCGCGGCAGTGAGTGGTACTAGTACTGTACTATACTATTCTGAAAATATATGTTCAGAATAAATGTCCGAGAGACATCTATATGTATATAATATTACATATAGATGTCTCTCAGATATCTTTGAGAGATCTGTGTATGATATTACATAAAGATGTCTCTCAAATATCTTTGAGATATTTGCTACGATATCTCTGAAACATTTGTATAAGATATCTCTCAGATATCTCTGAGATATCTGCAACTTCATAAGGATATCCTTGTTACGTCAGTGCTATGTGGGTCTCTCCTTTATGGCTTATGCCCATTCTACACCTAGGGATGATCCTACTTTTACCACATCCGATACCCCTTCTATACCTAAAGCTAATCCTACTTGCAGCTCTTATCCGAGGGAGTAGTATAAAGTGTAAAAGGGTACACTGTAGTTGTACTTTGGTACGATTGGAAACCAACCAAAGTGTAAACCTTTTACACTTTATACTACTCCCTCGGATAAGCTACAAGTAGGATTAGCTTTAGGTATAGAAGGGGTATCGGATGAGCCACAAGTAGGATCATCCCTAGGTGTAGAATGGGCATTAGCAAGTTTTTATTTTTAAGTTTTTTGTTGACCACTCAGAAAGACCTACTTCTCCACTTATTGCTATCGGAAACGTCGCGAACGATCATTGATGACAAAGCTTTCGAACAAGTCGAGAGCCGTGTCGTTCTCACGCTCAGAGAAGGAGGCCAACATCTCGTCATCGTGGTTACATCAATTTGACGATGCTGTATACAGATTCAATTTGATGGAAATGCAGCAAACTCTACACTACTGATTACTATGATACATCAACTCCCATGTTAGGGAGGGAGAATGAGATCAACTCCTACAGAACTGATCTTGTGAAGTATGATCTTAAAACTTGACTCGCACCACACCCGTATATATACGGTAGGTAACCTAATTTTAAATACGAGAAAAGTTTAGTCATCGAAGTCCTCTAGCGACCAAGTTCAGAAATAACTAACCCGCCCGTTTACATGAATAGATTCGGGGCTAATCAGGCGTCTCTCCACGGTCTTTTAGAAAAGTAGAAGCGTATTGTTACGTGTTGCTTGGCTTTATTATATAATATAAAAATTAAGATCAGAGGGAACGGGGACATACACGTTCGATGCTTCTTTGTCAAAGATATTTGAATTACAGTCAATATTTTATGACAAAATGAAGAGGATCATTTCTCTTCACGGCTAAATTAATTCCTAATTGGAAATATTGAAACAATATCTCTTTTTAAACTTATAATATTTATTGTACAATACATACGTAATGTATAATATAAATATAAAACTTGTAAATTATTATCCTTAGAAGTATAAGTTTCTGTGTAATATTAGACTTAAAAAAACAACATTGCATTAAAATAGCAAATAAAGCAGGTTTTAACTCTATAATTTTATGAGGAGTCTACGAGAGAGAAAATCTGCATTCACACATACACACACACACACACACACTCTCTCTCTCTCTCTCTCTCTTTCTTTCTCACGCGCGCGCGTACACGCACACACAAAAGTATATCGATCTCTCTCCTATATTCTTAAACTTGCACACTTTGCAATTCTTCCCAAGGAGAACAAAAAGTCAGGATGATGTCAATATGACATCAAATTGACATCATCCTGACTTTTTGTTCTCCTTGGGGTGATTTGCATTTCGTATGAGATTTTCGTAAATAATGTGAATGGACAGATATGCGAAAGTCACACAGAGAGAAATGCTCACTTAGACCCGTATTCCGAATCCTCTTTAATCGATAAAAGCTCCTCTAAAAGTGGCTCATAACCAACCAGAAGGCTTATTAGCCACTTTTTAGAGGCGCTTTTATTGATAAAAAAGGGTTCCGAATACGGGCCTTAGACTTTTCCAGTCTTCTCGCCGGTTCGCATTCCAAGTCTGTTCGCTTATCAAGTCGATTTATCAGTAGGGTGGGAAATTGAAAGGCGCAAATCATGAATTTAGATTGATCAGTGGATTTATGTTGTGATTTATGTTTACTCCTACATGTACGGGAAACTTAACTAATAATACAGAAGTAGAGAGTCAAATGCGATTAGCTGTATGCGAGTTAACATAAAACTTAATTAACAATTCGATAAAATTATAACTGGTAAATTATAATTTTAACTCTACTTTGAGTCATCTTCAGCGAGGCGGTGGTAGATAAATTAAATAATGAACTCTCGGACGAGTATTCGATGAACATTTCAAGAATAGACGGTGCAATCTTTATGAGAAAATATTAGTAAAATTTCACCAACATTCAGTTTATAAAACAATCGATTCAGAAATGAAATTTAGCTCTATATTTTTTTTTCATCCTTGGTCCAAAGTTCTTTTTACAAGTCATTCGGAGTATGTCCCGATTTTCAAACTCAAAAATCTGGTCACTTTAACAGCACAAAAGGAGATTGTCCATACTATAATGGAGGCATACAGTTTTCAGAATTTATTTAAAAGATTAGCAAAAAGCTTCGATTTCTTCATGAGAAATCTACACCAATTGACTCGTGATGAAATCTAGGAAAGACGAAACCTTCGAATATACGCCTGGGTAACCTGGTTCAGCGCACTTGAAACCATATGACACAACTCCAATAATGTAATACGTTCTTTGATTTCGGCGATCAGGAGACATCAATGGTCCACCACTGTCACCCTGAAAATCATTTAGTATCGTAAGTGAAACTTACTAAAACATATTTATTTAGTATAAATTGTAATTTTACTATTCTCTCTCTCTCTCTCTCTCTCTCTCTCTCTCTCTCTCACTCTCTCACTCTCTCACTCTCACCTGACAGGCGTCTTTTCCACCTCGAGCAAATCCGGCGCACAAAACGCGATCGTCAATCACTGTTGTCGCAAAATTCCGGAAGGCAGTTTTACATTCTTCTTGCGTACGTACAGGAATTTGTGTTTGCAAAAGTTGACTGCTCGTCGGTCCGTCTGAAAGACAAAAGTAACAAACTTTAGGATTTTCTAGAAAAGGTTATTACATGTATATTATTATCAGATTCCCCGGAAAAAATCTTTCGCGCATAATTTATAATCATGTTACACATATGAAATCTTTGTTCCTGAATAAAATTAGAAAACATTTAATTTATTCCACACATTACTTACGGAAATAAACCGATCCCCATCCAACGACGAAAGGATACGTTCCCTCTAAATTTTTGTACCTGTTAAAATCGTCCACCGGAAGACAAATGGGATGAAGTCTTGCTGAAAGTACGAAGCATATCAATCTATCATATTGCGATGAGAAGAGAATTATGTCCTAGGGCGAGAATATCTCACTTTTTGTAGATTATGAAATTGACACATCTAATTTTTAAAATCAACTTAATAAATCTAATATCTATTTTAATATAACTTGTATACATTTAGATAATGTATGAATAATCTCTGAGAGTCGACATCTGTAGATGTAATCATACATCGTCCTCATTTAAAAGTGAAAAGGAGAAACATAACTTTTAAACTTCTGTAACTTTTCTCGATGTGAAACGATAATATACATTCATTAGCTAAAATTTGCATGAAATTTTAATGCGAAATCGAAAGCGGATAGCGCGCTGCGCATGCGAGAGAAGGGATCAATTCCTATCAGTAAAATTTTATTTACTTTTCACTTCCTATCTCACGCCAATCAAATTTCGTCATTTCATGAAACCTATTGCAATTTTGCCACATACGTGAAAGAAATCACGTCTTTTATTCCTTTAAAGGTCAATTATGTTCCAAAGGGCAATTATACAATTTCAACAACGAAATACACATTGTAAAACAGAATAAAGAGGCTTACATGTAAAGGGTACTTCCTGGGTCGTCTTTAGAATCGCCACATCGTTTGTGTAGGTCCTGGGATTGTATTCGGGGTGCACTGTCTTTGTTTCGATAAAGTCCTCAAAGGGTGACGCTCCATCGTAGTCATTGTTGAGGTCCAAATCGCCGACGCGAACTTTGTACAAGTCCGATCGTCCGTGAATGCAGTGTGCGGCGGTAAGCACGTGTCGGCTAGAAATCAAAGCGCCGCCGCAAAGCCATCTCGGAACATTTGGATCTCTCGAGTTTGTGTACCCGAGAGCGGTGATCCAAGGCCAAGCACCTGCAAAATTCATCGAATATCACTACCGACAACGGCAACGATGCTGGAACAATACTGTTCTAAGCCACTTTTATAATTAACAATGGATACGTTTAATCGACTCTTTCTGGCTATTATATAATATATTTAATAAAATTACAAGATGTAATGTGCGACGTTTCGACCCCCGGTTTTGGGTCCTTCTCAAGCACAATTCTTAAAATTCCTATGTCATTGGACAGTCAAGTTTTAAAAAACGGTTCACTTTTGATTGTAAGATTAACTATTAATTGTGTCATGTCATGGTTATAAAACGGTGTTAGAGACTATGTCCAATATCTATCATGGTCGGTGAGTGACTTTTATAATTGTTTCTATCAAAATGGTTTCTAAAGACAGATAAGTAGATTGCTTATATTTCAAGTATTAACATTGACAAGAAGAATGGTGAAGGCTCAAAAAAGATAAAGAATCGATGAGGGAAGGCCAATGTGAGCCAATGAACGTGGTTATAATAACACAGTGCATGGTTTAAACGTGGAAAAGATATTCTTTTGTTCAAACGTTTCGACCCATGTTCGGGCTCTTCTTCAGTGATCTGATGCAACTAGAATTGAAAATGGTAGAATACGAATTGGTCAAACTAAAAATAGAATATCCGATGAAGAGAATATTATAGTGGGCGTAAAACGGAAATTATTGTGGAATCAGCATAATCGTCAGGATGAAATTAAATCCTCCCTCAAGGTTGACGCGCGTGAGTCTCTAAATGGTTTCCATAAAAAGAGGAGGATGGAAAACGCAGTCTAAAGAGTAAAACGATTGAATATAGAAAGTCAGAAGATAAAAATAAATGAAAGAAAAAAAAGAAAAGGAAATAATTAATTTAACAGAGAGACTCGCCGAAAATGAAAGAGGGCATAATTGTAACATTAACCGAACAGTAATAACGATGCAGCGCTAATTGTAAGATAAAAGTTGCAAATAAATATAACACGTGTCAAAAATACAGCGAGAAAATACAGGGGTCTAGACCGTATAAAAAGGTTTTTTTTTTGGTGATATCTAGGATGGGATAACAGTATCGCTCGGTCAGTTAAACACATGGTCTACGAATTTTTCTTGTTTTCTTATTTGTATTGTTACTTGAAGAGGACCTGTAGGTCGAAACGTTGTAACGAATTCAATAAAATTTGCCAGTTGAACTTCTCTTCGTGATACGAAAATCATTCATACCTAACGAGGCTGGCTCGCCACCGACGATTCTGCGTAGCGTTATATTACTGAATCCACAATTAGGCGGATACAAAGGACCGTATGAGGTGTTCGTGATTTCTTTACGGCCTCGATCATCGTCGTCCACATTTCCGCCGTTGGACGGACAGCAAACGAAAGGATCGTTACCTTCGTAGCCGCAAATAGAAGCACGGAGGAAATTGCCTACTTGCGGATTTTGCGGACTCGACTGCAGGAGATTGAGTAGCACCGTGCACGATCTGATATTGATGCACGTGCCGGGCTGTCCCTGCGGATTTTGGCATGTACCTATAACATATATACCGAAATTCGAATTTAAGGATATATATATAACAAAACTATAATAACGCACTTGGTAAATTTCTCCGAGATGTCTCAAAATTAGTTTTGCTTTCTTTTCCTTTTCAAGACACGCGTCGGAGTTTCAAGAATCTTTATTTAAACAGGATGTCTCATTTTAAATGATCCACGCAAATATCTCCAAAAATATGAAAGATACGGAAACATGTTTCAAACAAAAGTTGTTGGTGCGAAAGTGGACATAAGGTGCCATTGATGGATCATTTGAAATGAGACACCCTGTATAACGAAAAATTTTCACAAAAATGTGAATTTATAAATTTACACATCTCGCAGAGACGACTTCTCATATAAATAATATAAGCCGGCTATTTAAAATACAAAAATATTTCTTTACTCTACAAAGCAAATAACAATTTTCTCAAAGTTTGTTGCAATCCTATTGTTGTTAAACACTTCAATAATTATCCGCCTTTTTTACTTTTTCGATAAATGAACGCGATGAGCGAGTTTATCATCGCTGAAGATCTCAATATGGTAACTATTGTGAGATTTGTCGGTTAAAATTGTACGATCGTAACGGAATAGCGCATGTAATTATTTATAATAAATCCTATTACGCAATGTATATTACGTATTAAACACTCGCATACGTATACGATTTTCATTAAAGTGTTAAAACACTAGCTGCAATCTGACGTTCTACAGATAATATTTGTCACAAGCACATTTTAAAATTCAGTGACTAGTCGATGACAAGTTCAAAGCATTCCTGTGGCGATTTGCCTCGTGCACAATAAAATGCGCTTACAAGAAGACAGGTGTGTGGCTGTCGATACTAGATACATTCGCTGACAATGCAGAGTCTATCAGATATTTATGTTATACAACAGAAAAGAGAGACAGGAAGATTATAATTTATACTTCTTTCCTATCTTAGCAAAGATATAATGTCGTTTATAAAATTGTCTGTTTAAAGACGTTGATTTTAGATTATTCGTATAACATATACGAGCAAACATTTTTATCGATAGATTAATTATTATTTATTGTTGGTTTTCAATCTTTTATGTTTCAGAAAACTTATTGGATTTGCAATATTTATTATGAAACGTGCGTGACTGTTCAAAATTGCACATGACGATCTCTTTGTATAAAAAATTCTGAGGCAATTATGTAACTGTTTATTGTATAAAACGTAGCACTTCTATCCACTAAAGCGTGACCGTTTTTTTGTTCACAATAATTTTTATATTGCTTAGTAGATCTCAAAACTAGTTTAGACCACATCCGTAAATTCTTTGCAGATTCGATTATGCTACATGCGGTTAGAATATTTAATTAACCTTATCTTGCTTGATTGTCATGCGGTTAGAATGTTTAATTAATGTTATCTTGTTGATTGCCGTAATTACTCATTAATTGTTAGAAATCACTTCTTCAGGTATGCTAAAAAATAAAATAATCTATACGATCTATTACTAATTAAATAACAAAAAAAAGTAACTATAGGTACAATAAAATTTTAAAAGTTTATTTTGAACAACAGTTTTTAACATACCGTATTATTTTGTTCGCCATAATAATATTATACCAGAATTGATATTATAAAGTTTCATCAATTAATGAAAGTTCTTTTTCTATTAGTTAAGAATTGCCGTTTCTAATTGAAGACTTTTTGAGTTATCAACTATTTTAATTAGCACGTCCTTAAACAGAAGAAAAAATAGCTTCCTAGTGCGAGTTGTTTCATTTTGTTCGAACGAACAGTATGAATAAGTTCTTATTGAAATTTTTAGCATTTACGTCAAGGTGCGCATCAATTTACGTCACGCTAATTACAATCACATATAGATCTGATCGGTCATAGTTTTAATTCCTTTAGCTTATGATGACACAATATTTTCTCGGATTGGTCGTAGTTTTAATTCCCTTAACTTATGGTGATACAATATTTTCTCAGAAGCATCAAATCACAGATTATGCGAAGAAGATATAAAATGTCGTAACAGCCGACCTCCACCAATGGCCAGACTACACACTTGAAACTCTCGTTCTCTCGATTTGAAGGATCCGGCCTTGGCCGTGTTCGGACGGTTCTACGTCAATACTATAATTTCTCGGTAGACTGTGTAACGGAAAGATAATGAAAAAAGCTTCATTACGCGATAGATTGATCTAAAGATAAAAAATATCATTACATAATGATCATTATGTAATAACAATATCAATATTATATAAGTGTCGTAAGTGTCGTAACGTGGAGAAATTAGTTTATTCATGAATCTTGTGCTTACCGTAATGTATATTTTTATGATGTTACACATTTTTTCAACATTGTAAGGATTAATACTGCAAAGAGATAGATATACTGAAAGTATACGTTTATGCAGACCTTGGTATCTTTTTTTAAGATATCAAAAATACCAGATATAGTTACAGCTACTACCTGTATCTGTATCTTTCTCCGGAAAAATTAATAATTCAGCGCATCTTGCATCTATATCTAAATCGAAGCAATTTGACAAATGTAATTTGTATCTGTATCCCTTCACTGAATCCATAAAAAATGTATCCTGTATCTGTATCTTTGATGAAAAAAATGAAGATGTCAAGCTCTGCGTTTATGTATAAAACCCAAACGAATTTTTCCAATTATATTGAATCCCTCTAATAGGCATTAAGAGAAAAACCTAAATGAAGCTTCTGACGAGATTGTAATGGAATCCGTGGGTTCGAAAAGATGACAAAAAGCATACCTTGAGAATGCGTCGACGGTATTGATGCACACAGCAAACCGATGAATGCTAATACGGCAGTCCACATTGCGAGTCACTTGTTTAGGTATCCTAAAAATATAAATTTATCATATTGCTCCATTATTTGTTAATAAAATTATTTGCATCCTAAATCAGATTTAACAATTGAATCGTTATTAAATCTTTATTTAATTATTTAATAAAATCGAGTTTCTCTTTCACATTCCACAGGGCATAAAACTTTTTCGATTAAAGGCAAGAAATTAAATTAAAAAAACCGATAAGAGAAAAAAGATTCGTGATTTATACTGATGTAATACTAAAAAATATAATATATTTTATTTTTGTTTTTTATCGCTACCGTTTAATAAATCTTCGACATTTTTCGTGTTTAAAACGTAAATTTCTCTTTGTTTATTATCGAAAAAAGTCGTATTATAAAATAAAGTACAAAAATATTTTGAAAAAGTTATTTATAAATTCTAATTACATTTTTTATTTCAAATATTAAAAAACATAAGAATGCTACAAAATATTATACTAAATTCAGGCCAATCGCTTTGATTCAGCTAAATCACACAAAAAACACAAGTTATAGTAAATGTTCAGTGTCTAAGAAGTATCTCATCCTTTCAGACAGCTTTCAAAATGGCTTTTAGACTGTTGCAATGCAATTCACTTCCGCAAATTTTTATATTAAAATATTGGGGAAGGTAATGTAATCTACCACATGGAAATATAAATTACTTTAAACAAATGGACATCGAGTATCGCCAATATATTATGTAGACTTAAAAACCACACAGGATTTACATTTAATTTATGTAGTTAAACGACAGACTTTCATTGTGTGTGTACTTCTTCGTGCTATCTTCATGCTTCGGACTACCTCGCAATGTTCAACACTGATTATTATCGCGTATAATTTCGTAATCATTTATCTACAATACGTAGAATATCTTGCGTATGTACGTGTGCAGTGTCGCTGAATTATTTACGTAAATCTTGTTTTGAAATATGACAAATGCGTCCTCCCAGATATATGTGTCCTATCTATGTGTAAAACAACATTCAGAAAATGTGTGTTAACTTCAGATGAATATTGTTTGTTTCCACTGTGATTTAACATTGCGCTTTTATTACGATATATTCAAATAATTTTTTATTATTTCTTTCGATTAATGTTAAGAATAAATACTGATAAACAATATCTCTTTTAATATGTTAAACAATCGTGTAATTGTGAAAATAGTCGAGATTTGTACGCAGCTAGCCACGGTTTATGTACTCTATAATTTAATTTCATTAAAAAATAACATAAATTAAAAATAAAATAGAAATAGTTGTCGTACGGAGTAAAAGGGTAAGCAAATATTTGTGTACGAATTTGTAGTCATATGTTTTTTAACACTTGTACCAAAAATTAGAGACTCACTTTATACAATATTTAAAAATTTACGCTATAAATTTACAACGTAAAGTTATAAATTGTAATAAACTAATAAAATAACTAACCAGTTGGGTTGACTATAAGTTTCCCGTCTCAATCTTTAATCATTACTGGTGATAATAAGCAAACTGTCCTTTGATTTTTATGTTAAACTTTTAGTAATCAAACTTGCAGATTTTGTTAAAACTTGTTTGACATTAAGTTAAGACTCTCCTATTTTGCATTCTTTCAGCTTCTTTACCAAAATTGCTTTCTTTCCTATTGATTCACTTTTTCTATTGATATTACGTATCTCGTAAAATTATCACAGAAAATTTATTGTAAATTTGTATAAGAAATGCCCTTCTTCACTGCGTGTTTTTAGCACATTACATTTATTTGTGCATATCATAAATATGCATAAATCATGCATATTTATGAATAACATTGTTTATCAAATGTAACTATGATAAAATATTGAAAATTTCTGCCTATACTTTAGAAATTACAGCCAAGTCGGAATAAGATGCTAAAGATGAAGGAGCACACAGAAAAAAACATTTAGTAACACGTGCGTGGAGATTTCAATGCCCCACCGCGTTGCAATTGGCGTGAAAATAAGTTCTGCTTGGGTAATCGCGACATTGAGTAGCTGCACAAGTCAATCATAATGGACGATTATAACATATTGAGCATTTGCAACCTAGCGTGACAACATTGGAACAGGATTCACTCGAGAGGATTCCCCGGCGATTCCGTTTCATGGTCAAAGTTAATTACGAGTTACGTCCGACCATATACCTGGTATTGATAAAATCGCTCTGAATTAAATAAAAATGATATCACGCCAAGGACATAGCCGAATATGCGTAACACATCAAGGATATAATGAAATTGAAGTCATTTAATTTCTCATTTAATCATTTAACTTCTTGGCATGCGCCGTGAAAGAAGAAATTAATCACTTAGGCCGGTATTCCGTTCTTAATTCTTATATTTAAGACTGTCTTAATTAAGTGCAGTCTTAATGAGTTGTAAACCAATCGCAGAGCTGTATCTTAAGACACTGCTTAAATTAAGACAATCTTGAAATAAGAACGGACTATGAATATCGACTATTAAACTTTGTCCTTTGACTACAATCTGATAAAATTTTATTTAGTAACCGTAACTGTAATTAAACACTTTTATAAAGTAACTTTTCCAACCCTGCTTAAAAGTTTAACAAGAAATTCGATTCGAAATGTCGATTCGACATCGTTTTGACATCGATCGACAAGTCATTTCCTACTGGGACATTTTCATCAACAACTTTTGTGAATATACTACGATTTTCTTAGCACACACACGTCCCACAACACAATCCATAATAACACTGCTATGATTGAAATTAAGAGAGATTGAAACCGATGTAATTTCAATGTCTTCAGATGTCCCGCAAAGAGACATGAAGGAAAGATATTTTGTTGCCACTTGTGAGAAATTACGAAAAATTAATAATTATTGTCTATTCACCAATGAATAACTGATGAAAAATTCTAGAACTGTGACGTTTTTATTCACAAAAACTATACGGATCTTAACTTCTTTATGGAGGACAAAAGTTAATCAATCATTGTTACTCACTAAGTAATTATTGCGTTACTGCTACGTGCTCACACAAAATCGAGAATCTCTTGGTACGGAAAAGTAGACTCTAGAAAACACCGATGGTCGGTGGAGAGTTCTTACGATGTACACCGCACACGGACAACTGGGCTGCTCCCTTCCCGACGTATTCGCTTTATAACGGACGAGCAAGCAATCGGTCAACATTCTTCATAGACTGGAACTTAATCGTATGCGTGTTAAGACGAGAAATCCGCATATTTACTCATGCAAATATAATGCAATTATGCGAATTATCCAAAAATTGCTGAAACATAATTGCCTGCCGGTTGATGAAGATCGAAACAAGTGTCTATCACGTTCCAGTATAAAATAAACGAAATAACATGATAGCCTTCACTTCGTACACCCGCATAAATATCTTAATACTATTTTTATTAACATGTATTACAATTTGTATCGTTTGCGTGTTTGAGAAGAAGACAAGGACAACATTGACACAATAGTTTTAAATATTAGTACATAATTGAGAATTAGAAAACTGGAATATACTTCGATAATAGATACAATTATTTATTTCAAGCAGATAATAGATAAAAATTTGTACTTCCCGGGAAAAAATGTATATATCTAATTATATCCGAGTGTGACTCACAATCAGATATAAGCAGATATGAATTTTGTCCCTAGGCAATCATATACAACGTAAAGGTGAGTTAGATATCGTTTGATAACACACAACTATGTTCGAAACATTTAAAAGATTTATTTTAATACTTTATAAATATTTAACACAAAAAAATTATCTATTCAATTTAAAACTATAAAAATATTTACGAAATATTTTGCTAAATATTGATAAAGTATTGAAATAGATCTTCTAAATATTTTGTACATATTTGTGTCATCAAACGATATCCAATTCACATTTACGTTGTATATGATTGGCTAGAGACTGAGATGTACTCAGATATGATTAGATATATACATTTTTTCTCGGGTTATTTCAAGCAGAAAATAAAATTCTATCGCAATTTAAATCGCATTTTACTTCATCTTAAGAAAATGTTAATCCGAAGTTACGTTAGGAAAAAATATCAAGGATTTTGAAATTATAAGTTACAAGTTATTAGACATTTTTATTAATTTTTCTTGATACAGTCGACTCCATTGCTCCAAGAAACTTAACGAGCTTTCCGGGTTTTAATATCATATTATTTGCTACGCTGCATTGCAGTAAATACGACTCACCGTTTCCTAATTCTAAATATATGCCTTACTGATTAAAGAGTACGGAAAGAATACGGCAAGAAATCTCGCAGAAGCTCTTTTTGCTTGCGTTATCGATTTCAACAAAATATGACTATACTCAAACATATTTTCTATTGCAGTTATCGGAATTTTGCGTACGTATAAATATTATGTCCTAAACAAGTTTGGGATTCACTACTTAATAGAAAAGCTAGATTTTTGTAGAATGTGAATAAGCTAGAAATGTTTTGTTGTCTCTTACTAGGAATGTCCTATTACGTAACGTGTATAATTCCGCCTACATGGTAAACTGATATTAAAAGAGCAAAATCACTAATTTATTATCAACTGATAGTAAAAAACAAAATATTGATCCCGCGTCTTTTATGGAAGAATAATATAGACGCGTGTTCGCTTCGTATCGAACTTTGACGATCAAAGAATATTTTGCAAATATATTTTAATAAGTATCTGACACGTATTTTGACATGCAATACGAAGTACTTGTACTTTTCGATTCACTCACTGCTAATTAATGATTAAAGCATTCGCTATCGCGGACGCGGTACGCTCTTTTTCGCTGTCGTGGGCTCTCTTAATTTTTAACAAAATCGCACGAATGCTCATTCGCAGATCTTTATTAATTCATCTCGCAGTAATTTTTGTAAAAGTCACAAAAGAGGACTTTTTTTCTAATCAGTTCTCACTCCACCTATCTACGAGCGACGTTGTATCTGTTATCAAACACTTTGTACGCATATGCAGACGAGGAGAAAATGCATTCTCTTTATCGGACGGATTATATACCTATATATATCTACAAAAAAGTCCCTGTTTCAGATGCTCAACATGAGTCATCAGGAAAAATCATATCACTGGACTAGTGGATTACCGTGAAGAACCTGTCCAGTGCCCCGCGGGTGTTACTTTCTCAGTGCCAGTTCGGGCAGATCAGCTCTGTTTTACTGGGACTTTACGCTCTGCTGACGACCTTGTGACGTTATTCGTACGATCTCGCTGTACGTACCCATATGACGCACAATGACGCTCTAACGATTTCGCACATCTTTTCGTAATCTTCCGCGCGCGATTCCGCGTACGCGGTGATTTACCGATAATAAAGGAAGGAACGGTGGTCGATCCTGCGCCTTGTTGCACACGATAACAATAAGAAATGCGTCAATCAAGGACAATCGCGTTACGATCGTCTCTTTCGTATCGCGAAGATCGACTCAATTTCCATGGTTTTAATTAAACAAGGTAATAACTTTTTCTAAGGGCCGTGTATTTTGTATAACGTTTACCCTAGCAACAGTAAAAGTCAATATTTTGCATTATCATCCTATTTTATTATATACAGTATAAATTCCTATTATTTATACGAAAGTATATAAAATTATTATTTTAAGTTTTCCAATATATATATACATATATATATTGAATATATATATACATACATATCTTGTAGTTATAATTTATATAGAGGTACATACATTTATATATTCACTTGTTCTTATTTCGCAAAATAAGAAGTCGTCGAGACGAATTGTGTCTAACTACTTGATTGTATATGGCAAATATATCTTTTCTTTTGTTCTCACGACCCTTGAAACAGGACGCATTACATATCACTCTCGAAATACGAATTTAATATTTAAAACTTACTAATGCACTCGATGAAACAACCGTTAAAATTTGTTGTGTGAAATAAAACGGTCGTTAAAGGGACGCTCCCCGGTGTCCCCCTAATAACTGAATCTTGATAGATCGTATTGGTATATGGCAGTGTATATAAAAATGTTTCCGCGATAACAATCGTTCATCAATAATGAAATAATTATACGAGATCGTTACTATATGTTCACGACGATAAATTTCATAATCTAGTAGAAATGTCAGATCTTCACCAAACTTGGACACTTGACGAAAATCTTTGATAATAATATATAATACTTCCCTCTTCTCAATTCATTTCTTTTAATATCAAACCAGCAACGGCTAATTCCGTAAATATGATATTATATGTATACTTTTTACGCGTTACCTATTATATATTATATATATTTTTTATCGCACATTAACAAAATAAAATTATTCACGTCAGGGTATCAACTTGAATACCATGTGTGTGTGTGTGTGTGTGTGTATATGTGTGTATATGTATATATATATATATATATATATGTGTGAAGGTACTAATGTGGTAAGAGCAGCCTTTACCACGAATTGTTATAATTATAGAACAGTAGTATTATTTTGATTCTATTATGTAACAGAACGTATATACAAGAGTGACAATATATAAGGCCTGACGATACAGTGACTTTTTTCGTAGTTTTCATAGGTGCAATGGCGATTATCTTTAATTTAAAATTGCTTAGTCATCCTATAGATCAGATATTCGTTTACGCTTATAACTTAGGCTAAGTCTTTGGCTTAGCATCGGTAATAGTAATCGAGGAAATTCAGTATAAATTCATAATTGAATACAAGCCTGCCATATCGGTTTTAATATTATTTCAATTGACGTTTGAATTTAACTAGAATAATGTGTACAAAAGGAAGAGAGATAATGTAACATATTCATAGGTATAATAATATAAAGTAATTTGAAAAACGCACTAGCGATATTCTCACACGGAGGATAATCGATAGTAACCTGAAACAAATGCAAATTAATATCTTCCCAATATTCAGATCTATGCTAATAGATATTCAGAATGAAATTAGTATCTAATAATATGGACATACATATATCAATACAGGACAAAATTAGAAGCTACTCTTTGAATTATCGCTAGTATAACATGTAATACTAGAATTTTGTTAAGGTCACAAATTTAATACAAGTATTACAAAAATTTACATACAATCAATGAAATATTTACAATAGAAACTCCAATACACTCTCATAGTCAAGTTGAAATACATTGAATGTATATAATTTATATATATATTTTTTTATACCCGAAGTTATATCGATACAGAGATGTTCTCTGTGTATTTCTTTAAATATTACACATCCTAAAATATGCAATATATCCATAAAATCATATAAAGAACGTGGAGCGTTCTCAAAAATTTTGTTTTACACATTTATAACAAAAAGATAAAAATTAAATTATTAATAACCACTAATGCTTGATAAATTAATTTAGTAATTATCAAAATAAGACCCATAAAATCAACCACAGATGTATGTAAAATTAAACAATGATAGCTCTTCTCATCTTCTTGAGGAACTCAGCTGATGCTTCGTTATTTTGATTATCCATAACATTTTTACATCATTATTTCGTAATAGTAGTGGTAACCCAGTGCATTTTTTCCCCTGGATGGACCATCTTGAAATATTTGATATCATATACACGTTACCTGATTACATTTCAAAAAGAGGCAGATATGGGAAACCTTAAACTATGTTCATGGTTCATTCGAAGTAGTAAATTCCTTATGGAGAAATATTTCGATATCCACTCGACATATAGGACAACGTTTATTGGTGCATAACCATCGATCAACGCAGTCAATATGAAATAAATGCATACATGGAAGCCTCCTAGACAAAAAAAACAAACGCGAAAATATTACAATTCACATACCATTGATGTACAAAGGCTGAAACTAAAATTGTTACCTGACGCGTTCGCAATCTTCGAATTCGGATAAACATATTGTACATTTCTCAATAGCATCTTCCCCATTTTCTACCTTTTTTACCTATAAATAAATACATAACGTATTGTAATATCATAAAGACTCGATATTAAAAGGTTTTATCCAAATGTCAATTCTTACCCGTTTATATTTGTGAGGGAATGTGTGGCTCTCAATGGACTCTTGTGTAGCCCCACAACTTATATGAGCCATACGTCGAAAGTCAGCAATGCGTATGTAATTGTCCAGTCGAGACATATCTCGCGTCGAGATATGACGTGTCCCTTGCAATACAAATTCCGACATACTCGGTGCATACGGCACTATCTGGTGTGCTGCAGATCCTTGCTGTATGTGTATTAAAGTGATACGATAAGTGCAAGATATATTTAAAGAATTTACGTGTAACGGACTTGGCAGTAAGTAACAGGAGACAAACCATATGAGGGGGATGGAAACTAATGTGTACATGATGCATGCGTTGCGACGGCCGTTGATGCGGATCGTAATGATACATATGATGATGCACATGTTGGTGTATCGGTTGATGTATCGACGGTAACATCAGCGAAGACATCGAGTCTACTGGCTGATTATTCAGCGGATTTACCTGCGAATATACATGAAATGCAAATTATATAACATAAAATACGACATCGAGACACGTTGCGTGAATCGTTAGATTACGATTATAGGCAGCACTGGGCATGGTCCCCTATAGAAGCTAGATGGTCCTCGAGCCTCGGGATGACTGTAAACAGTAGGCTGCTGCGGCGGCGGTAAAATAGGAGGTGGGAGATAATTTTCCGTATACGCCGTGCTGTCCGTTCCATTATTGCACCGAGTATTCGGGGGGCTACTGTTCTCTCCCTCTCCGCAAGTGTGTTGCGTCGATGAATGCACGTGAGCGTTACATGGTCCCGCACTAAGTAGACGATTTTGTAAAGATGCTCTTGCGCTTAACATGGAATATAATGTAAGTGTATTGAAGTACTAACGTGTGATGAGACGAAGATCTGGGGTAAAGTCTTCGTCTATGTTGCTCTTGCACACGTTGCTGATTTATCCACAATCGTTCTTGCACAGGATGCATTCGTGGTCTTACTTGTACCACTTCCGTAGCTGCGTCTGTTTATAATAGCAATTAAGTTAACTTTCACTTTCATCATTTTATAGCACATTATGTGCGTAAACTTCGCATTCCAATTATGCCATTCTTTAACAGTCGATAAACGAATTTCTAAGTGTAAAGTCATACCTCCTATAGACGAATAACCTGTATGAACAGGCAATCTGTGATTGTGATACGTGCCTCTATTATGCATGTTATGCAGATGATTCCAATAATCTGGTGATCCATGCACACAGTGGGTATTATTTCTAAACAGGATTTTGCGGCATGTATAACACGGCGAAAGTAAAACGAGTTCGATAGGAACAAGTGTATTTAAGAATGTAACGCTCACCTATGATTATAATCTGTTGACCATGGGTTAACTACAGGATTTGTTGGCGTAGATGACGTGTGCTCTTCGTCAGATTCTACTGTTAAGTCAACTACGGTGACTGTACGATTATCTTCGTTTGTATTTTCTAATGAATTCTATAACATTACAGGAAAAACGTTCTTTTAAATCAAATCCTTTACTGCGCCTAACACTAATAGTTTTTCTACAACAGCGCTATGCTATTTTCTTATTTCTTTCTCATTTCCACATTTCTTGGACACTCATCTCCCCGCTTTAATTCCTTTCTCCTATCCTTACACTCTTTACCGAGATCTATTCTAATCCGTTGTCTCTGTGCCTTCTGTTCCACTTTAATGTTCACTGTTCACCTTTCATTTACTTGCTCTGCCTGTATTTCGTTTCCTTCTTTTATTAAATCTATCATCTTTCCCTCCCTTACTTCTTAAATCGCTACCAGAAAAAGGCGTAGTGTACTATTTCAAACTACAATGTTGTTTGTTTCTTATTAATTTTTTCAACACGAAAGGATTACAGTACAAATCCTTTTATAATAAACAATATCTTAATGCTTTAGTACACCATATGGCCGATAAAAAAAACAACTCCGTTTTGATTGCAATAATCTTTATGAACATTGCACAAAGAGGCTATCACTATTAGCACAAAAAAATTAGGTACGATCTACCTAACTGCTAATCGTGTGCCGACGTTAATTTTCTCAGCGCTATTCTCTGTACTTGAAAATATTGGCGTACCTTTGCGTTATGGTTGACAGTTCCAAGTACCTCAACTGAGCCGTCCTCGTCGTCGCTATCACTACTGGAGGACCAATCGAGTTGCAAATCTGGCGCCGACGGTGTATCGTCACTTTCTGTTAAAGCAACAAGATCGACAGATTAACAAACGCTGACCTGCGGACGCGCGACGTCTTAATGCATTGTAAAACACTGTGAAAACGTACGAGATGAATGCATCTCTTGAGGCGTTATCACACTTGACATAACTGAATGGTACAAACTATTAGACTCATTGGCATTATCACTTCCTAAATTTTGTAAAACATCCGGGTTCTCCGCCGACCTCGTCATACTGCAAAGTAACGAATACATTCACAATGTATCGGCGGTAGACGCCGATTGCGCAAGCCAGCGCCGCTAAAGCAGAGGAATAAATTACTTGTTCGAGATAGGATGATCCGACGATCTAGACGGCCCGGCTATACTCAAACTATCCGGCTGTTGGCCGCTCAGCAATTTCTGCTCGTCGCTCCTCTTGGTCTTGTGCTTGACCGTCAGATCGCGATCGTGCAATATTCTCTTCCTCCTATACTCACACACTCTCTCCTCGCAGGGATTACTCAACTGTCGAGCCGGTGGCTCCTTCTTCGAGTTTCTCTCCTGTCTATTTTGGCACATGTTGCAGTTCAAGAGATCGGGCTGCCAATACTCCTGCGAGTCGCCGGTCGCGTCCTGCGGCGTCAAGTAATTCCCATAAACAAAATTGCTCTCGGAAGCGGCGGGGTGGGCCGAATTGTAAGGATGACTTATAGCCGTCACGTCCGACTCCTCGATGTCGCTCTCGGCGAACAAGTGCTCGTACTCCATTTCGTTACCTGCAAGCGAGACGTGCGTCGTATTGCAGCGCGGAAACAAGGATGGTCGACGAGGCAGCCGCCGAGTGTCACCGCGGTGCGTACCTGATGGAAAGCGAGGCTGCGGGGATGGATCGACCGTCGACGTGAACGCCGTGTCGAATATATCGGCCAGCGAGGTGGAGTTGGCCTCTACGGACGCGGCCGTGGACTCCCCTTGAAACAGCTCGCCGCGCTCCTCGGGCTTGCCCTTGTGCCAGACATTCTCCGAGCCCGTGCTCTCCTCCATCCTACCTCTACGTCACGGGCGGCAACAAGAGAAGGCGTTAGGCGCCGAAGACCACGGCCGGGCCGCGTTCAGTTGCATAACATGAAAGGTCAGGATACCCGCGGAATCGCGACGACCGACGCACCGCGCGAAAATGGGGCGGCGGGCGCGTAAAATTTGGGAGATGACGGGGATCAAATTCGTCCGCCCCGGAACGTGCGCGAATGTAGAACGGCGATGATCCCCCGAGCACGGAGCCGTGGACGTCTCGCGAGTGTCTCGGGTGAGCTTTTCCTCGCCGTTCTGCACGGCGACGTCTCCTAAGGCCCCCCTCCCCCCCCCCCCGTGCGCTACCGTTACGCACGACTTTTCCGAGAACCGTATCGGATTACAGGGAAGAAAAGTCAGTGGGGTACACGGGGCCGGGGACGGGGAGATTTTTCGGGCGCAACTTCCGGGATCTCGGGCGCACGGGTTCGCACGATAAAATCAGCGGATCGATAGCGCGCGACGGGACGATCGCCGGAGCGCGGCGGGAGTGCGTTTACCTTGCAATTCCTTCGACGCTCCCCGTCAAGCGATAAGCGTATCTTCTCAACACGTCATTTTTATCAGATTTATCGTCCGCGAAACCGCCGTCGCCCGTATCATCGCTCCGTATACCCGCGCCGATATTACCTACGTGACCGGGGCACTGTGAATTTGATTGAATTGCGATCCATGTAAAAACGTGGATATAATTAAATCCTTAGTCAGTAATAATGATAATGAAATCGAAAAGAATTTATGTAGACTGGCGCAGACCGTCTCGTTAACGACGGACATTCGGCAACGGCGGTACCATCAATCGTCCCCCTTGTCAACTACGCTCGCACGCCGGGGCTCCGTCGATCGTGCAGCGTTCTACCTTTCCGGCGTCCCTAAAGCCCGTGTCACACTACGCATTGCGGACGCGGATTGGATTGTGATTGCGGATCGCGGATCACGTTTCAGCCAATCAGACGAGACGGCTTTGGACCCGATTGGTTGAATTGCGATCCGCGACCGCAATACGTAGTGTGACATGGGCTTTAGCCTCTTAAGTCCCAGTCTACAATAGATGATTTAAGCCCTAAGCTTTAAGAAATTGGCCAATCACGGTCAAGTATGAGTAGAATGCGCGACTGTGATTAGTCAATTTCTTAAGACTTAGGGCTTAAATCTCTATTGTAGACTGGGACTAAGGCCCGGTCTACAATGAGTCGTTAGTCGTTAGTCAGAAGTCGCAACTATATGTTGATCCTTTTCCTTTCTGGGTGGAAGAAAAAGGACCGACATATAGTTCCGACTTCTGACTAACGACTAACAACTCATTGTAGACCGGGCCTTAGACAACACTTAAAGCCCATCACACAATGCCAGGCAACAGGAACAGGGAATAGAATTTCTAAAGCCCGTATCAGACTACGGATTGGGATTGGGATTAGATTGAAATTTAACCAATCACAGTAAAGTTTACTAATCTTAAGTTCAGTAACTTTTACTCTGATTGGTCAAATTTCAATCTAATCCCAATCCCAATCCGTAGTCTGATACGGGCTTTAAAGCCTTGTGTTCACGGTGCTAGAACTTGGTCCAAGTTCTAGCATTGTGGACACAGGCCTTTAAGCCCGTATCAGACTACGGATTGGGACTGGGATTAGATTGAAATTTAACCAATCGCAGTAAAGTTTACTAATCTCAAGTTCAGTAACTTTTACTCTGATTGGTCAAATTTCAATCTAATCCCAATCCCAATCCGTAGTCTGATACGGGCTTTAGAGCGCGAGTATTTAAAATCCGCCAATGGAAGCTGCGCGCGACATGCCACGTAGCCAATGAAACGAGGCGATCGTAGCGCGATCCTCTCGTCTACGCTCTCTCGCAAGTTCGCGGCCCCGGCCGTGCAGAACTTCGCGCGACAATCACCCGTCTCCTCTCCGTATCTTTTCCTGGACTTGACCTTCTTGTCAGGCCGTAGTGGCTAGTGCTATCAATGGTGCTCCGGTGTTAATTCGATTTCGAGCGCATTGCCTCCTCTCAGCGGAAAGGACCAAGTGAAAGATGGCTGTGGCTGCCAGGTCGTTCTCGAAATTCGCTGGTGGGTCACTCGCGGCGCATCCCATTGTCACGCACCGCGATATTCCCGCGTCTCGCGCCGTCCTCGTCGTCGGTCCCCACCGACCTTCGCACGTTTCGGCGGCATTGCCTCTCGAGGGATTTTTTTTTGGTCTCCCGCTGGTTACGCCACGCGCCAGCCTATGAACGGACTAAAAATAATGCTGACAGCCCGCGTGTTTATGATAATATTTCATTATATAAGGCGAGACGTAATCGCGGCTGGGTCGCGCCTCGTCGGGAAATGCGTGTCGCGCTGCTAATCGGGTGCCCCCGTAGTACGCGATGCAATTGGTTAATTTGTTCTCACAGTAATAATCTCGCGACCCTTCCCCTCCGTGGCGATAACTCCCGCACGCAGCCGGGGCTGGCGATACCCCCCTTTTCTTTTCGTTCGCGCCTCGATCTTTCCCGTTTCATTTCTCTCGGCGTGCGGCACGCTCGAATAAAATTTTCGCGTGCCTTCTGCCCGCTGTGTCTCGACAGTATCCGTGTTGGATCCGCGAGCAAATGAACCTTGACCCAGAATTCGCCGCTAAGATTAGAAGACAACAAACACTTTTTACTTTCGTACGCGTGCAGTATTGAAACTTTGTATATTCCTGCGCATAACTTTTTCCCTTTGACTCGCACATCAATGTCAGTCTGTGTACAATGTACCGACGTTCTTAAATAAATGTATCCTTGTCCCTCTTTCCTCACGCACCTCAGTTTTGTCCTAATGAACTCGGCGCCGCCGCCGCTTATTTACAGTGCTGTCTTGTAACTTTTCAGTGAGAAACTGTGGAAGCCTGTTACGCTCTCAGGTGAGATTTAATTACACAGAAACTAGGAAGAATTTAAAAATCGATGCAAATACCAAAGTGATATGTCAAGGTTTTACTGGAAAGCAAGGGACTTTCCATTGCCAGCAAGCGCTCGATTATGGTACAAAGATAGTAGGTGGTGTCAGTCCCAAGAAGGCTGGAACGGAGCATCTTGGTAAACCGGTGTACAAATCCGTTAAAGAGGTACCGCTGCTCTCTCGCTACATTCGTTTATTTATTTCGCAGCGGCATTCAAGTCGTCTTCCACATTTTGCAGGCGAAAGATGCGACCGGTGCTACCGCGACAGTCATTTATGTTCCTCCTCCGGCGGCGGCCTCGGCCATTATGGAAGCGATTGACGCAGAAATGCCATTAATTGTTTGCATTACGGAAGGTATTCCTCAGCACGACATGGTCAAGGTGAAGAGGCGATTACTCGAGCAAAATAAGTCGCGTTTAATTGGCCCCAATTGCCCTGGAATAATAGCGCCCGAACAGGTACAGAAATCGCATTGAGCGCTGCGAGTTGATTGGCGAAACGAAATGTCATTTCTCCTTGTGACGTTGCAGTGCAAAATTGGCATCATGCCCGGCCATATACATCAAAAGGGGAAGATCGGCATCGTCTCGAGATCGGGGACCCTAACTTACGAGGCTGTGAATCAAACGACGCTTGTAAGGACACACGCGAAATTTTTACCTGCTCAGCGCGAAATGCGGCGGCAATAGCGATACTTGTGTTCGCAGGCGGGACTCGGGCAGACATTGTGCGTCGGCATCGGTGGCGATCCGTTCAACGGCACCGATTTCATCGACTGCCTGGACGTGTTTCTCACCGACCCGGATTGCGACGGCATCATAATGATAGGCGAGATCGGTGGCAGCGCAGAGGAATTCGCGGCCGAGTATCTCATCGAAAAGAATACCGTTGGTTGCTGTTCAGAATTATTGGTACCCGAATCCCGATCCATCCTCGCCAAGTCCCACCTCGTCCTGGGAATCTGTTGTAAGACCGGAATCGACTGATCTCTTTCGCAAGGTCGTGTCCCGGTTTCGCGCAATTTGTGCTCGGACCTTGGACCAGAATGAGCGTTTACGATCTTACAAATTTACAAAATCGAGATACGACCTTGCGAAAGAGATCAGTCGGTATGTCGTACCTCACTCACTTCGTACACGTTGCAGGGTGGAAAAGCTAAGCCGGTGGTGTCATTTATCGCCGGTATTACCGCACCGCCGGGACGAAGAATGGGACACGCCGGTGCCATAATCTCGGGAGGAAAAGGCGGGGCGCAAGACAAGATTAATGCACTCGAAAAAGTGAGTGAGAAATTTCTGTTGATACAACTTTGGGTATTTTTTTTTTTTTGCGAATGAAGTAATACATACGTGGGTTCTGTTATCAGGCTGGTGTAATAGTGACAAGGAGTCCTGCACAAATGGGTAACGAACTTCTAAAGGAAATGACGCGGCTCGGCTTGATTTGCAATTAAAGCACGCACTACTATAATTCTGTGTAGTTTTCTTCATGTCCGTGTAAAAGGTCTTCGTGAGAAATAAATTGAAAGTATGCCATACAGCAATAACTCACAGAACATAGTAGTGTACTGGGGCATAAGAGTTATTTCACTTGCTAATATTATATATCAATTGTTCTTATTGTCATAAGACGTTGATCGACGCTAAAGATTATATGGAGGATAACTGATATTTTTTGAAGAGCTGATTTCCTTTTTCATCAGCAGACGACCTTTATAATACTTTTACAGGATTAATTGTTACGTTAACAGTGTCCGAGAATAATCTGCAAATTATCCAAGGGAACGTTAAAACTGCCATTGATCTGTCACAATTTGACTAATGCAGAGTCACAAATTTTTCTATAATATATATATAGTTTTGAGGAACGGTTGTTTAAGTGTATAATGTACTATTATTGTAAATTCTATCGAGCATATAATATATTACAGTAATGAATTTAAACTTTATGGAATATGTATCCTTATAAAGTGTAAAACATGTTAAGAATTCAAATATATATATAAATATTGCTGCTTGTTCCCACAGCTATTTGGCTTTTTTTTAAACATCGGTACAAAGTAGCTCTCGTACTCGGGGTGAGACGGCGAAATTGCTTCGACAGCGTCATCCAAAGCCCATTACTTTGTCAATAAAGTTAGCTATATCCGCACTTTTGTCATCGACGAACGGCTTCAACTTGGTCAAGTCCATCGTTTGTATGACACGCGGCAAATCTCGGCAGGTACAGTAATACAAGTGCTCGTCTTTGTACAACTGTTCAGCCAGTTCGGTCTGATGATTGTCCATGAGCAGATCATTAATCACCACGATCAAGTGTTTGTGATTTTCTAAAGCCTCCAACACACTTCCCGCACCAGCGTGGCTTATCACAAGGTCCGCTAGCTGCATGTATTCCCCGATGGACGGACTTAAACCGAAAGTTTCTATCTTACGGAAACCGTAACGCGCGGTACAGTCTGGTTTTAAGTTGGTGTTGCCAGTTTGCAAGATCAGATGCTTGTAATCACGTGCTGACAGTGCCTAGAATCGCGATAATAACTGTAAACATCTTCTAATGATAATTGATATCATTTCAATTTTATTCCATTATACAATATACATATACAGGGTGAGGAAAAAGTATGGAAACCCCTAAATTTTTCGAAAACTATGCATCTTAGAAACAAATGTTCGAGACAAAAGTTACATTTGTGTATACATGAAAACTCCAATGAGATATGTGCACAAATGTTTACCAAAGTTGGAGTACTATTGCAACAGCATATTCCTGACACCAAATCAAGTCAGAAAGTCCTGTCATCGTTTTTTCTCACGACAAACAGTTGTCGAGACATCGTACGATGATTATTGAAAGAGTTGCCAAGTTTTCTTTGAACATCTCAAAAAATATTAGACAAAAATGTTTCAGACAAAAGTTGTTCCAGTTAAACTTTTGTGCCAAACTTTTGTTTCTAAAATGCATAGTTTTTGACAAATTTACAGGTTTCCACACTTTTTCCTCGCCCTGTATAATAGAGTGTATCAAACGTAATGAAAAAGAAACATGAAGAGATCGAATTAAACAGCGAAGAGAGATCAATGGATAATAATAAAATAGAAATATTGTATAAGCTACCTCCAGGACTGTGCGGCTCAGCACTGTAGTTATCAGCTCGTCAAATTTTGTTGTGCCAACCGTAACGAATACCGTTTTCTCCAACATCGTGTACCGTTTCATGTATTTATTGAAACCACGATTTTCATTATCTCTTATTTCTCTGTTTTCATAAAATTTTCCGTCGGATCAATGAATGTTACATGAAAGATGACGTTTGATCACGTTCAAAGCGGTTTACTCGGTTAACCCCCCCACCCCCCGATTCTTTTCCTTTTATTTTTCATAAATCCTAGATCTAAGGTAGAAAGAGCAAACTGAGTAAAGTCCGAAATTCTGATTTCAATCTTGATTGCGTAATCTTATTCGGATAGATCTGGGTTGACAATAGGCCGCTCTTTTTAGGTTATGCGGTCACATGGACTTCTACGCACTCGACTGTTGTACATACGTACAAGAAATTATTTAAACGCGGAAGCACAACCTCGCCCGATCCGATTATCCAGTCCTGATGCGTTGCCACGTTATTTAGCAACAGATATATTAAATACTTTAAAAGAGATTACACAGTACCCAGGACGTAAGAGAATAGCGTCATACAAATGGAGATTGGAGATTTGGATTTTGGAGTATCAAGTATCTCCTTTTGACTGGAGGAGAAAAATCTGAGGGGCGAGGGAAAATTGAAGCATGTGACATGTCTCGTGACATGTCGATGTCATCGGAGCGCATAAAAGTGCAAGTCCTACTCCTTCGGTTAAAGGCCTGTGTCCACGATGCTAGAATTTGTATATTGAAGCCTCGTCTACATAGAAGTCGTAAAGTCGTAGTCGTAAGAATAGTCGACTGTGATTGGTCAATTCTTAAAGCCTCCGCTACAATGATTCTCGGTTCTGTCTACAATGGTCGTAGTCGTAGTCGCTCGATAAGAATTGACCAATCGCAGTCGATTATTCTTACGACTACGACCATTGTAGACAGAACCGAGAATCATTGGGTGCTTACGAAGAAGCGCTCGGAGTTAGGTTTGGGTCGGACATGCGTACGCCTCTCAATGATTCATGTATTTCATGTCTTGCCCGAACTGTCTCTAATAGCAACCCGGGTTAAGGCCTTCACACATAAAATTCCGTAAGGACGTAAAACGTAAGCGTAAGAAAATCAACAGGTTGGATTTGCTACTGCTTGCGTCATTGCCTTACGTTCTCGACTGTGATTGGTCGATTTTCTTATGCTTACGTTTTACGTCCTTACGGAATTTTATGTGTGAAGGCCTTTACTCGGGTCGCTCGGGTCTCAATCGGCCTGGGCCTAAATTCCGTACACGATTACCGACGACCATCGATACGTTAACGACGTTTGCGCAGCTTTTCTATCATGTAGAAAAAGCTGCGCAAACGTCGTTAACGTATCGATAGTCGTCGGTAATCGTGTACGGAATTTAGGCCCTGCCCAAACCCGAGTAAAGGCCTTCACACATAAAATTCCGTAAGGACGTAAAACGTAAGCGTAAGAAAATCAACAGGTTGGATTTGCTACTGCTTGCGTCATTGCCTTACGTTCTCGACTGTGATTGGTCGATTTTCTTATGCTTACGTTTTACGTCCTTACGGAATTTTATGTGTGAAGGCCTTAACCCGGGTTGCTATTAGAGACAGTTCGGGCAAGACATGAAATACATGAATCATAGAGAGGCGTACGCATGTCCGACCCTAACTCCGAGCGCTTCTTCGTAAGCACCCATTGGCTGCGTTTGGCAGGAAAAGCTGCTTTGCAACTGTTGTAAAATTCGTGAATCTGATTGGTGTGTTCTCTCAATCTTGTGTGATTAAGAGCATACGTCAATCAGATTCATGAATTTTACAACAGTTGCAAAGCAGCTTTTTCTGCCGAACGTAGCCATTGTAGCGGAGGCTTAAGAATTGACCAATCGCAGTCGATTATTCTTACGACTACGACCATTGTAAACAGAACCGAGAATCATTGTAGCGGAGGCTTTAATCACGGGGCGCGTTTACAATGTTGATCCTGCTCCGAAAGCAGGAACCAATCGCGTTCGTTCGCCTATCGTCGCACGACCGCGTTCTCGCCGAACGAACATCACGAGAGCCGCAGTCGATGCTGCTCTCAGTACTGTCTGTTGAAATTCGATTGAGGTTGCGATCGCGACCAGGTGGAACTCATATTTATTACCGTCTTTGACCGTTTACCAGAAGTAATTGCAAAACACCGTAGAAATGAAGGCGCTGCTGGACCCGATATATGTAGAGGTACCGCGTGACACTTATTTCACCGGGAGAATCGCGCGCGTAGCTCAAGGCGGACCGTTTGACACAACCGGCGAACAAGTTGTATTAAAAGTCGTCGTCGGCGGCCGCACAACCGCCTGAAAACATTTCTCCTACGTCCCTTTACCCGATTCCTCGCGGGGCATCGCTCGCCCCGGCGGTACCGCGGAGATACGACGAACCGCAGTCCCGCACGAGTGACACGTTGATCTTTGAGATATTTATAAAAGAGAACAATTAGATTACCATACACGTTGGCGCGTCAATTCGCTCGACATCTCCCTTCGACTCCGATTCCGAGAGATTCTCGAGCGGCGAGACGAACCACCGAGCGAATCTCTCGCGTCCAAGCTCTTTGCGCTCTAAAGTGGCTCTCTGATACGAGACGAACAACTGAACAACTTTCGAGAGCTTTTCCCCACGCGACATTTGTTTTCTTAATACAAGAATCGAGTGTATTTCTTTTTAACATTACCACGTTTATTCGCATGGCGTCTCTAAATTTACAAAATCGCGTTCAAGCAGTTGTTTCTCGCTGTCTTATCGAGCGAATTTTATCTAATGTATGTTCAAAAAGCACTTAGACGCGCGTATACGCTATAAAATCTTTAGAGAAACAAAACTACGTCCAGCGCGTGTGACTTCGAACATTCGTTTGTTAGCTTCGAATTCGTGAGCTGCTGGTTGAATGCAGTCTCGTAAAACGCCAGCACAGAGCAACTGCACTGTGCGTTCTCTGTGTCTCGCGATACCGCAGGCTCGTTTTCTATCGCTGCGCTGGTCAACTAGTGCGATAAATCGGAGTAAGATAAGTAATTGTTTTCACTCCAGTCAGTTTTGCGTTGGTTCACCAGTGCAGCAGCAGAAGGCTGGTCTTATATTACATTGTATCGTCGTGATTTCATATTCACCGTCGCTCTCGTGCTTTCAGGAATTTCTCTTCAAACAGTCAAACACGTATCAGGTGTTTGACTTGAAGACGCCCGCATATATACCCGCCGCCTGCAGTCTTCTCGCGGCCGACAAGAAGCGAGGGCTGCTTTACGTGGGACACGACGATAAAGTTACCGTGTTAAAGCCGGCGGACGAGAGCAATGCGGAGTGGCAGATAGAACTCCAGTTACCAGGCGTTATATCAAAGATTGCAATTAATTGTGATTATAATTATATCGCTATAGGCATAGCATTGAAGCCCACAGTATTGATATACGATGCCCATTCACTAGCTAGAAATGTATGCACGTAGCGATTTTTTCGTAGAAGTTCTTACGAAACGCTCTCGAAACGTTTTGTCCAGTACACACAGAAAAATATTATTGTACAGTCAAGAAAAGTAATTGCTCAGTTTATTTTATTCCGTTTAAGTAATAGTTTGCTTCAACAAAGAATATTTTCTTAATAATAGTTTTAAGATATACTTGTTACTAGTCTTAGAAAAGCTTGCCATCTTATACTCAAAGAAAGAATTTATTCTTCTTCGAAGAAAATTATAAAACTTATTGAAGAATTCCGTATGCTTCTTTTAATAAAATCAGAAGAAACAAAATTGTTTTGCTTCAAACAATTCTATATATTCTTGTTTCAAGTACTAGACTTACTAAGAACCAGAATATGTTTTGAGTAAATATAACACTTGCGACGACATTATGATAGATTTGTGGATATATAAACTTATCAAATACTTGGAACAAATAATATTTACTTACAGGTAGTATATATTTTTCTGTGTGTACCATAGGGGATCTGGAGGCTGCGCATTTATCGCTAACCGGCGCGTTAATTTTCAGAGTCTCAACCTGTTGGTTGAAATAACACCGACGAACAAGCTAGACAGCTACATAACGGACATACGATGGAACCCCACCGTACCGTCGATGTTCTGCATCGTCACCAGCGACTGCACCATTGGTAGCTTCCTGTTGAAGGTGGAGGAGGAGAATTTTGTACCGAAAGTGTCGGTGATATCCAAGGTGTCGAGCGAGCCGCAGGCTCTGTGCGCGGCCTGGAGCCCCAAGGGCAAGCAGATAGCGGTGGGTTGCAAGAACGGCGACATTGTGCAACTGAAGCCGGACACCCTGAAGGTCGCCAGAGCTATCGCGGGTCCCTCGCCGTCCATCGGGGAGGTCATCAGCATCCTGTGGCTCAGCAACTATCAGTTTTGCGCCGCGTATCTGAACGGCGAGCGGTACGTCAACGTTCTCATCGTTGACGCGCCGAAAGGTGAGGCGAGCGCGATCTTCACGTGCTACGGGGACATCATGTACAGCTTCCCCGAGGGGGAGGACAGCGTACCGCGGTATTACTTGGAGCACGTCCCGGAATGGGGACTCATCATAGCGGGTAGCAGCACCAGCAGCGAGATAGCCATGCTGGGCACTGCGGACGGTGGCGCCAATTGGAATCAGTGGCAGCTGGTCGACAGCGGCAGGGCCCAGTTGCCGTTGATGAGAACCACGGAGATTTATCCGCTGGGCCTGGCCGTGGACAAGTCGCCGACCGGCGTGCTGCCGTGGGGCACGGACTCGACGTTGCCGCATCCGGTCCCCATTTTGCACATCCTCGGCACGTCCGGGAAATTGTGCAGCTTTCACATGGTCAATCTTGCGCCCAACTGCCCCGCCATCAATGTTCCTCCCACCGAGATCGTCGCGCCGCCGGCACCGTCGCAGCCCCACGCCGTCGCGCCCGCGGAAATGTCGTTCAGCATAAACGCCGCGGTGACCAGCACGCCGCGCTCGAAGCCACCGGAAATGGCGCCGGAACGCTCGAAACCCGCTCCGATGAACATATTTGGCGACTCTCTGAAAACAGCGGGATTCTTTCAGCCGCCTGTGGAACAAGCGGCCGAGCAGCCGAAGCCGCAGGAGGAAAAGGCTGTGCCGCAGACAGTTGCGAAACCAATCGCGCCTAAAGAAGCACCAGTGCCGGAGCCCACAAAGACGACGGAGATCAAGGCAGTTGCGGACAAGGAAGCGAGCTCGCCGCAAGCGACGGAACAGAAAGCCTCCATAGACGATAGCATACGGATGCGAGCTTACGTGCAGGAGCAGGCGTTGTTCGAGAAAGAGCTGCGAACTAGATTGGAGCCGCAGGTGTGGGAGTGCGGCACGGACGCGGAAAAGAAGCAGCTCGGGGAGACGTCCGTCTTCATAGAACAGTTCCTGCGAGAGCTGAAGGAGACGACAAACAGCCTGTCCAGCGACATAACGTACCTGAAAGCCCTGTTGCTCCAGTCGTTCGCGTGGGTCGAGGAGACCAAGTCGAAGAACGCGGCCAGCGTCGACATCACCGCCAGAAACTGCAACGAGAACAGCAAGATAGCAGATCTGCAGCGCTGGTACTACTACATACATACGCAGCTGAATCAGGTCAACAAGATCTTGGACCTGGAGTGGTCGGAGCACAAGGCGCAGGCGAAGTCGAGGATGAAGATCCCCAGCTTGGAGTACGTTTACCAGAATCTCGTCACCCACAACAAGATCATCGCGAAGGAGAAGGAGAAGCTCGAACAGGTCTCGCGACGGTGGAAGTCGCTCAATCGCTCGATGGCGGCCGACGGCGTGTCAAATCTCAATCGCTCGATGGCGAGTCTGCACGTGAGCTTGCCGAGATCGTCGGCATCGGTGATCAGCTACAAGACCGACGTCATAGACACCCGCTGCAAGGCCATCGCAATGAGGACTCTGAGTTTCACGCACGAGAAGCAGCTCAGGCTGAGCGCGTTGCTCACCGAGTCGTCCCCGAGGATCATCAAGCCGGTCAATCCGTCGCCGGTTCAGGATCGTCTCAAAGCCACACTGTCCTCCTTGGCGTCTCTCAGTCCTGTCGTCAGTGAGGCTAGGACCAAACCCGAGCCGCCGATTGTTAAGCAAAGCGTCGCCGTTAAGCAGCCGGTAGATAAGCAGGCCAAGTCGCAGAGTCCGCTCGCCTCGTTGAACAGTATCGTCGCGAGGATCGGCACGCCCGACACGAACGGCGTCGTCCAGGCGCAGACCAAGGTCCAGCAGAAGCCGCTCCCGACGGCGGTGTCGTTCTCCGGTGCGATCTCCACCAAGCAAACGGACAAGAAGCCCGCGGCGCCGGCGGTCCTCGCGGCGTCGCAGTCCAAGCCGAAGCAGGAGCTCAATGTCAACTTCCCGACGTCCATCACGTTCGGAGCGCCGGCGCCGAAGACTCAAGATACCCTCTTCTCGAAGTCTCTCGTCGCAGACATGGCTGCCAGGAACAACAAGGACCCGGCGAGCGGCGACGGCGTCGTGAAGGCCCCGGAATCCGCTCTGTTCTCCACCGGGCTGCTGAAGGACGTGCTGTCGACGGATTATCCGTTAGCGGAGACCGCTCGCATGGGGATAGCGCGCAACCTCTTGCCGCTCTCCGCGGCGCCGGCCGCCGCGAAAACGGACGCCGCGGCCACGTTCAGCTTCGCCACGGCCAACATGCTGCCGCCGCCCGTCGCGAAGGGCTCGCCCTCCGCGCTCGACATGATGTCCTTCGCTTACTCCAAGTCCGCGCCCGCCGTAGAGCCCGCGATGGCGATTCAAGCGACGGGGATGCAGACGCCGATAGAACTGTCGGCCCTGTCCCTGGGATCAGCCGGCGCGTTGACCCTCCAGTCGGCCGATCACTTGAGCGCGGGCGCGAAGGCGAACGCGACCACGACCTCCATGAGCTTCGCCACACCCGCGGCCGTTATCGCGGCACAGGCTCCCGCGATGACTGCCGCCGTCACGTCCGTCATGACCATCGGCGGGGTCACCATCAGCGTCGTGGACGCGAACGCCGCTCAGAAGCCGATGACGGAGGTGCCGTCCAGCAGCGCGGTCATCGTCGAGAAGGTCATCACCGCGCCCGAGATGAAGGCGCCCAGCTTTGGTACCGCGAGCGCCCAGGCCGCGATCTTGTTGGCGCCGTCGATCTTCGGCGGCGGTCAGACCGTCGCGAAGAGCACGGCGACAACGCCAGAGGCGATTGCACTGCCAGCTACCACGAGCACCTTCGGCGTGGTGTCCTTCCCGTCGATTGCGCCTACCTTCGGGACGACGACCACCGCGTCGGTGTTCGGCGGATTCGCCAACGCGCCAGCCGGCGTCGCCGCCACCAGCCCTTCGGCGGTGCCCGCGAGCACCGCGCCCGTGTCACCCTTCCAGGCCTCCCTGAGCAAGCCGACGTTCAGCGAGACCGCCGCCACCGCCACCAGCGCGCCGGCCACGAGCTTCGGCACCGGCAACGCCGTCCCCGCGAGCACCATCTCGTTCGGCCTGCCCGCGGCGACCTCGATCACGCCGGCGTTCGACAAGAGCCCGATAGTGTCCCCGGCGTCGAACGCGCATTTCCCGACCGTGCAGACGCCCGCGTCGACGGCGAACATCTTCGGCAAGCCGATCATCAGTCCCGCGTCGACGCCGTTCGGCGGCACGTCGAGCTCGGTGTTCTCCAACGCGCCCGCCTCCACCTCCTCCAACACCTCTGTATTCGGCGGCAACAGCATCTTCGGCTCGACCGCCCCGAGTGGGAATATCTTCGGGGGTAACACGGGATTCGGTGCGGCCTCGACGGGATCTATATTCGACACCGGCGCCCCGAAGCCCGGTATCGTGTTCGGCGGAGCGACAAGCGCACCCGCGTCCCCGTTCGGTGGCGCGACGGCCAACGCGTCGTCGCCGGCGGCAGTCAGCGGTTCCCCCGCGGGCGCCAACGTCTTCAGGTCCACTGTGTCCAACGCGTCACCTATACAGCAGCCTGTGCTCAGCAGCCAGCCCACTTTTGGGCAAGCCCCTGCCTTCGGCGCCAAGCCGGTGTTCGGGTCGTCGCCCATCTTCGGTGGAGCGAAGCCAGTTTTCGGAGGTGCTGGTTTTAGCTCGCCCCCGGCGTTCGAGTCTCCTCCCATGGGTAAACGGCTGATATCATTATGTATTAATGCTTAAAACACGTGATATGATAGTTTATGGTCCTACCATCGAAGATAGTACTTTATGACCCCTACAACTTTTATTCGGATCATTTTCCGTGAAAGCGTGTACTGCTGGAGATAATAGGAGGGTCCCGTTCTTTTTTAATACCCTGTATAGATGATGTCCCAATTAGTCTTACCAAGAGCTCTGAACGGTTTATAATTAGATTATCTTGCACCTATTGTTCATTTATAATAAGACAAGAATGTTGTGAACAGGATTTGGAAGTCCACCTACTATGCAACCTGGCTCTACGATGGAAAATATGCCGAAAGTATTTGGAGAAGTGACGGGTAGCAGTACGTTCGAATCTTTAGCTAATCAGTCGGGTGGTCTCAGTTTCGGTAGCTTAGCCCAGAAGAATCCAGAACCAGAGAAGCCAACGTTCACTGCGTATGTAATTTTTTGCCTCGGCAAGTTTTCGATTAGTCGAGTCAATAAGAAAGTAATGAGGAAACGATCTAGAAATAATTTCTCCAAGCAATAAATAATCATCTTATTTCAGCGGCAGCTCGTTCTCCAGTTGGAGATGAATAGGACACAGTTGCGGCAGATCTACCTTCAAAACTGTCACGTGTCTAGCAAAATGTGAAATTTCTATTGAATAAGGAATTATTTAACTACAATTGTGTATATACCGTTTTACATTCAGAAAGATGTACTTTTTATGAAAAACAAATTACATTCTACCTTGTACGTTGTAATAAATGAGAGAGCGGATCTAGGTTTTACAATAAAATATTTTTACTTAAATGGGGAGAAAATAATTGATCAATATTATAGTTTAAGCCAGAGTGAAAACAATAATGCAACGTTGAATATCAAGGTGTCCAGTGGTCAGGGAAATCTTCTGGAAAACCAGGAATTGGCAGAGAATTTTAGAAATCTGAAAATGTCAGGGAAAAGTCAAGAAATTTTACGATTTATCTGGATTTTTTTACATCGTTTCACATTTTTTCTGAATAATTTAAAGTTTCTAGAAAATAAACTTTTCTTGGGCTCTCGGTACACTAATTTTCTGTTTTGCTAAACGTCAATTTATTTATAAGCGTGATTGGTAATTTATATTTTCATCGTGTTATTTTATTTCAATGTGTTCCAATGAGACGAAACTATAAAAAAAAGATGAATTACTAAACAGTACTATCTAGTGAATTGCAAACAAAATGCAGTTAAGCAAAACGAAAGCATCGCATATGATTACGTACGGTATCACAAATGGTTCGAATGGTTTGTAATGATATGTCCGTTCCTATTACACAATGTATTATACATAGATTGTATGATTGCTTTTATTTACATTTTTGTTTCCCGAGAAAAATATTTCAAGGACTTCGTCATTTAACATTTACCAAACAGATGTACGCAAATTATGCATCTTGAAAAAAGTTAAACGGTCAGGGAAAGATTAATTCCGGCTCCTGGAAAACCTGAAAAAGTCAGGGAACTTTTTTCACCGAGTTTGCTGGACACCCTGAATACGAATGAATGCTGAATGAATGATAGTTGCAGTTTATCTTACACTCTCTTTTTCTTCAGTGAATATCTGTCGCTATTGTTATTTCTATAATTTTGCAATTATTTTCTATTAGATATCTCTCTTGGTTCGTATGTTGAATAATAAAACCTGGAGACAAAGCCAAATTTTTTGCTTGATTGACCTGTTCCATGTTACTCTCGATTCAGCGTTTAGTGACGTTCAGCGCGAATACTCGAGCGTTTAATCTAGCCTCTACTTGCAACAAATACTGATCTTTCTCGTTACCTCTTATGATGAGTTGGTTTCTTTGAACATACAAGCCAGCACATTTGTTTAAATTAGTATAGATTTTTTTATTAACAAACTAGTTCTCTGCGTGAAGTATTAATACTTGCTTTGTAAAGATACATCCAATTATAAATGTTGAAACACAAACGTATCAAATGATCGTTACACAATGTAATCATATGCCTCTTTTGATGGCTTTCGGTGCGATCGACACTTTGGTAGGTTTGCACAAATCAATCACGCATGGATCTTCTAAAGGTGGATGCGTGCAGATCGAGGACGAGGGCAATAGCAGTGCCAGGGAGATCTCTACGTTGCAAGGTTCCATCCACACTTGATGCGACAGAAGGACTGTCGTTCTCAATCTGTAATCTTTCTGATCGGACCGCTGCATACGCAGATCCGACTGCCGCGGTAACAGTAATTGCACTTGTTGATCCGGATGCCTCAGCTTTATTCGCAGAGTCGAGGGATCGCGTAGATTCAATATCTTGGCGTTCAGAGGGATGCCGAGCAAAAGGCCACCCGTGAACTTTAGCGCGGCATCGGCATCGCCTCTCGGTTCCTCGATGTGCGCGCGGCAGAAGCGCGCCGTCGCCGACGGCCTCGGCAATCGTTCATCCCCCTGTGCTACCGGCGTCAAAAGCAACGGCAGCAACAGCCGCGTCAGGGAGCCCGGCTTCACGTCCGCCAAAGTGGGTATTTGTAGAACCAGAGCCCTGGAGAACGGCGGTAGCCTCGACGTATCTTGCGGCAAGGCGTCGGCTTCCGACAGAAAATACCGAGCCAGTGGTAACGCGCTGCCGGTCGCACTCTTGGTAACCCGAACTAATTCTATAGCCAGCGCCTTCAACCACATATCATTAGCCAATATCATTTCGTTCTCGCCTAATCCGCTAAATAAGCGTTGTAATCTAGAAAATAATAATGTATAAGCTTTTGCACTTTAATTTATCTGTCATTAAAATTATATGGCGAAAGTTATATCAAAACGACTTCTCCGATACGTAATGATACGTACTTTTGCGTGTGCTGAAGAAGAACGAAAATATTGTTATTGGTATTCGGCACTGGGTTCGCCGAGATAGACGTCGTCGAGGACACGGAGCATTCTTTGAGAACGGATTTCAACAGCAGCAGACAGCGGATGTACAAGGCGGCGAAACGCGCTGCACCTTCCATATGATGATCCATCTCCGCCAAGCAATCAAGATCAACGGCTGCGGTCTCCAAGAGCTGCGTATGAACCCTCCCCCCTGGCCTAGCAATCTCGATTCCGGCCGCCATCTTCTCCAGGAACTCGCGGCCACGTTGATCCCTGTTCTCCTCGTTATCCATATCTTCCATTTTGATTCCTGAGCCGCTTGTAAGCGCTGGCCGCAATCGCGGTACCAGATACGGCATAGTGTCGCGCAAATAGTGGTAATGCTTGGACGCATGCTCCGTAAACAGGGCGTGCATGCTCGGACAGTGTAACGCGGCGTTGAAGATCAAAACGAGCACGCTTGCATCTGTTGTGAGCAGTCAAGGATACTGTAGGCAACTTACAAAGTTTAAGGCCTATACTCTGAACCCTCTTTTACCAATAAAAGTGCCTCTAAGTGACTAATAAGCCTTCTGATTGGCGACAAGCCACTTTTAGAGGCGCTTTTATCGATAAAAGAGGATTCAGAATACAGGCCTGGGACCATTTGTTTGAATAAATTTAAAAGATACAGGATGGTTCATCCACGTCTGGCTCGGGTGTGTCGAAGAAAGGATGTCGGCCGAGAAGCTGCGGTACCAGAGGCAACGTTAGGTACGGATGCGACGCGCCCAGTGCCGCTAAACAACTTCTGATACTCTCCCTGTCCTGAGGATATCGACTTAAGTTGTCTAGCAAACGATTAACGCACATGTAGAGACAATTTGTAGTGGCGAGATGACTAGAGGCTAGCATAGCGTGCAAGCCTTCTCGCACCTCTCCCGAGAAATCTTCCAACGCGCCTAAAATCGTCTCTAACTGGTCCTCCCGAAGGGTCACGCTCGATGACATTTTCTTTAAAGACTCGATGGCTCTTAATCTGACATCCTGAATTTCATCATTGAACATATCCACCATGAAGTCCAACGAAACTCTGGCTATACTCGGTTGCTCTAACGAAAGCATGCAGAGTGCTTCAACCGCCGCTGTTCTCACCTAAAAGAAAATTCAGCGATATGAGAAATAAGTATGAGGGATAAAATTAAGTTCAGTTATGATGAAATGTTCCATCATTTTTAATTTAATGCGCTAATAAATATTGTAAAGGAAATTATTATTGTATGGCAATAAACAAGTTTATACTTCTAAAAATTCGTCCTCTAAACCATGAATAAATGCTCCACACGATCCACTTTTCTCCTCAACTTCGGGTCTGTCCGCTTCAACTATTTTTTGCTTCTTATCCAACGATTGTTCTATATGACGACGCGAAACATTTTTCATCGTTCCCAAAAGGGACATCGCCGAGGCTCTCACGCGAGGTGACAAATCGCCCATAAGACTGCAAATTTGCGAAAAGGCACAGTCCACCATACGCACATCTTCTCCGTCAGATCCAACAACAATACTGTAATAAATTTACAATAAAAGAAACACGTAAAAGGTTCGGCGTAAAATTTCATCTTTAAGCGGTATTCTGTAAAAATTCTCTGCATCTCTGTCTCTTGGACCAAGTTCTAGCATCGCCAACACAGGCCTTAAGCTCTTCGTGGCACCGTAGAGAGCAGGAGAGAAAAAGTAAAACAGCTAAAGAGCTAAAGAACTGAACAGCCACGGAGCCACAGATCGAAAATCTTACAGAACACCGAGTTAAAGTACATTTTTGTCATATACTGACTTCTCTGGATATTCCCTGCCCAAAAGCCAAATGAGTTTCAGAACGGCTCGGCGCACGATCTCGTAATCGTCGCGGAGAGCTGCGCAGGCTTCCTTGAAGAAACTCGCGGGCAGCCTGCAACCTCTGTGAGAATGCAACTCTGCCATAGTCTCGAAGGCTTGGGCGCGAACCCGTGGATCTTGAGAGCAGGCATAATTGCTGATTAATGTTAACGTATCGTCGGCAGCGTTTGCCGTAAGATAACGTCCGATAATAGAGAGACACCGTGTTTGAACACCATGCCAGGTGTCAGGCAGATGTTCCTGCGCGATCTTCAACACCAGTGCCCTGAGCAAAAAACCATTTCCTCTTATTAATTTACCGGTAGAGAAGTGTCTCTTGCTTCCTCAATTAAAAACAAATATTTAAACTCGCTGCAAATGAGGAGTTCGGTGGAAGAACCGACCTGAGTCGATTTAAGTTTTCGTAAAGATTTTGTTCATTCAAAGTTTTGAAATTGAAAATTTACATATTATGTATAAGAGTCCAAGTGCATATCTCATAGGTTTCGACCTGTTGAATGCGATTATGAAGTTTTTAGCTTCGCTCAGTCGTTCTTCCACCAAACTCTTCCAACACACGTGGGAAACGGCACGCGCCATACTCTACTTTTCCCACTGGATCGCTTACGAGAGGATGCAGAGTTTTAGATCAGATAACTTGAAGCTAAATCCCGATTTGCTCTCGTCCGGCAATCCAGTGGGAAAAAAGAAGACGAAGAGGTGATACGAAGCGCAGTAGCGCATGAGATGTGCTCAACACCTTTGGTAATCTCCCAGCTTTAACAGCGTGGCCAATCCCTGGCTTTTGACTCGGTGTGACTTCTCGTTTCTCAGGAGCTCGGCCGTCTCGTTGACAATCTTCGCCTTCTCCAACGTGTCGGGCGTCACCTCACCCAATTCGGCGAACACCCAGAAGATTTTGGCCCTCACCGCGACCTCCCGCTCGACGGCGAATCTCTCCGCCAGCTTCTTCACGGCGACGGGAACGTCCTCCGGCGCTATGTACGCTATCGCGTCCGAGATGCGGACGAGCAGCTGCAGCGCGTCGTTTCCGCTCTTGCATTTCTCCAGGCACTCGATGTAAGCTAACGCCGAGCTGCTGTCGGTACCGTTCTTCGAGCCAGACGTCGATAACAGCCGCAGGGTCTTCAACCGTTTGGTTGGCGGCTCATTAACAATCTGTAAGGAAAGCTTTGTTACGAACTTGCGACGTGTCGTCCACAATGCGTGGGGTAAGTCTGGAGTAAGGAATTAGAATTGATTTATCTTACACCCGTTTCTACCAACGCGGTTTAGTCGGAACTACATGTCGGTCCTTTTTCTTCCAGCCAGAAAGGAAAAGGATCAACATACAGTTCCGACTTCTGACCGACGACCAACGACTCATTGTAGACCAGGCCTTAACTTTAATCTCGGTTCAACTTGCTATCTTTTTCTGGTTTTACGAATTGGTAAAAGACAAGGAGTAATTTAAGCCGGGATTAAAGTTAATTTGCATTGGTAGAAACGGGCGTCACTACTTCAGCTCTTGCGTCTACCCTCGACAAATCAGAACGCCATCGGCCAGTGCTGCAAAATTGTTTAAAATTACGCTTACGTTTTAGTTGCCTCAGGGCCTGAGCAGAATGGCTGTCTTGTATCCTTAAGTCACGAGACGGTAATTGTGCGTTACTTTAAGACAAAGATTCGAAACATAAAACACTGTCCTGAGGGTACAAGACAGCCGTTCTCAGGCTCAGGTTCCAAGCATTTACGGGTCGTTCTCTGCCGTCAGCCTGAACTCGACTTCCGGGCGAGAGAAAATCCGGACCGACACATAGTTCCGACTTCTGACTGACGTTTAACAACTCATTGTAGACCGGGCCTTACTCCTTACGCCAGGCTTACTCCGCGCGCTGTAAACTACGCGTGAAAAAGATGATGTCAGCTGTGCCGCGCCGAATAGAACGGGACGTGTGATCTTTACCGCCTGGCTCTGATTAAATTCAGCTAGCACTCGTTTCTTCATTAAGGCTGCCATTCTCAGAACCAATGTCTCATTCCATTGTGGATTTGAGCACCGTCTCTACTCAGATCGGCTTGAGACTCGGGGACGCATTTTACGTTATAACATAACCTTAACCACCCACGAATCCAAATATTTGTGCGGTGTGAACTCGAGAGACGCCAGTACTGCCAACTTTGGCACGTGCGCGCGGACAAATCCTGGGTGTATCGATATCACCAAAAAGGGCCTCGACTCATCGAACTAATCGATTGTCCGATTGATTTTATTTTTAATTCAACCCGGGAAAATTTGTCGACGGACCCCTACATTGGAAGCGAGCAGTAAAGGCCTTTGCACGTAAAAAAGTGTTAACCGTAACCGTAATTTTAGTCCGTGCAACTCAACTAAAATTCCGTAACCTGCGGAATTTTACTTGGATTGCTCCATTTGTCTGTACGTGTTGAAAACTACGATTACGGACTAAAATTACGGATAGTTAACACTTTTTTACGTGCAAAGGCCTTAAGGCCCGTTCTACGATGCGCGGTACGTCGCTGTCGGATATAATTGCGACATGCCTATAATTGAGCTGTAAGTCGCATTAAGTTTTGAGGTGGAGCAATAACGGAACAATGGAACTTTAGGAATTTATTAAAATTTGTTACAAAAATTATAAAAATGAAATTAAGATTGAGAAGAAGACGTAGAATAATGAGACGATGGTGCGTAAAACCCTCACCTTTCTGCAAATATCAGGCAAGACTTTGGCGCTCACCAGAAACCATGACTATGTAATTTTCGATCAAGTGCTCGTAATGAATTTTACAACGTGACAAGAATTTCAGTACAACAGTTGGATTATTTACACGATCACTTAAAACCAATGTTAAAAGTACTCCCAAGGAGAAGAAAAAGTCAGGATGACATCATTTTTTGATAATTTGTTATGCATCATGGCGACGTCAAAATAGCCCACCGAGAGCACCTATTTGTGACATCATTAAGACACACCAAAATGTTGTAAAAATGATCTTGTTTTACAAAGCACAGTTAATTAAATATTATGTAGGCGAGCGAATATATTCACGGGCGTACATTTCGGACGAGCGTACAGAGACGAACGGCATAAGCGTTAGCTTGTATATGTTTTCGGGTAGGACGGCTGGCGGTCGAGACGATAAATAGAGTATCGTCTCGGGCGTTGAAATAACGAATCTAGGCAGGTGGCCGATTGGTTGGCGTCGATATCTCCGACATAAATATAAGCACGGAGTCGGAGAACAGGAGAGGATTCGATTCCCGGAGACCCGAGCTAAGAGAGATCTTCGCAGAACGAGTGAAAGAAGCGAGCCATCAGAGAGAGAACATAGAACCAGGCCAATTGAGGGGAGACACGACACCCGCCTGATTACTCTCTTTTGTATGAGATAGAGAATATATCATATTTAAAAGAACCGAGTCTCCAATCTCCTATCTATCTCCAAATATCCGGGATCATACGGAAAGGAGGACTTTCGCCCTCCGAACATCATAGTCTTTCTACAATTATACATTAAAAATACATTGAATTAATATACTGTTACGTTCGCGATTCTCCGGGGCTGCTCGTTCGGGGGGGCGTCGAACGTCCCGTACCTGGCGGCGAGTCGCCTCAGCTGCACCTTCCTACCTCCGCGGCGAGACCGACGTGGTTTTCCCATGGCTGGACATGGCGAATGTTTCGAATTAGGCGACTTGGTCGCTGGCGAGGAACACGAGGAATTTACACGACGTCACACGGAGGGAAGTACACAGAGGGCGGGACGACGAGGATCGGCGAGAAGACGGGACTGTGGGAAGAGAGGACGGCAAGGACGCGCGGGGAGCGCGCTCAGGCCGTATGCGGTGGGTGGTGCGCCCCTGGCCCGGCCGACGGCGACGGTTAGCCGCGCTGGTCGGGGAGCAGGAGCTCACGCGAGGTAGAGACGGACTCCGGTCGACGCGGCTCGTCGCGCGATCCGGACAGGTGCAGAGGGTCTCGTGGAGGCTGGGGGCTCGCCGAGGGAATGAGGACGATCGGGGACACTTCACGGGGGCACAACACTATTTTGCACAGCACGACACATGGAGATTAGCCGCGGGTGTAGGCGCGAAATAATAGCAATTGTCTGGTTAGCACCGATATAGAGTTTATTCGGACTTCGCACTGTCACTTACACTTGTGCTTGTTTCTGTGTCGAGATAATAAAGAGAACAAAAGAAATTACAATTATTAGCGCCGAGTGAAGGAAAAGCGGCGGCTCTCGCGGTTCGGCGGAGCCTGAGGGCAGAAGGCTGTGCAGACTCCGGCGAAACCAAGTTGTTCACGCGGCTGAGACGCGCGCGAGAGTGGGCTCACTGGGGCTAAGTCCGACGCCTTGGATCGGCGCTGCGGCTAAGTCCTGAGCGCGAGCCGACCCTCGCGGCTAAAGTTCCTTCGCGAGAATTCGCCCTCGCGGCTAAGTCCGACGCCTTGTATCGGCGCTGCGGCTAAGTCCGTCGGAGGGCCAATTCCCGCGACTGAGTGCTTACTTGCTGATTAGATCGGTAAAGCTCAGAGGAGCGATCGCGAACGAGAGCGCTCTTCGCTCCGAAATCGCCCCTTATATATACTAAAATTCGGTGGCCCCGCGCGGAAAGGGGGCACCGATCGCGGTTACGTGAGGGGGAAATCCTCGGCTAAAGGTCATTCTACAATTCTGTAAACGTAGTTGTTGAGTTGTAGGAGTAGAAGTAGTAGTAAGTGTTGTACATCAAAGTAATATACAATAGAGTAAGATACGTCGTAATTGAAGTGAATGATTGGTTAGCTTTTACGTCCTACATCGTTGTAGTCGTGAAAGATGAAGTTCAGCCATCTTTTACAACGGGCTTTACAATCGGAGATGCTAGTTTAAAACTGTGTTTTACAACACTGTACAACCGATAACAACCACGTTTACGCAATTGTAGAATGGCCTTAACATTTCCCGTGGAATCCTCGTGGATTCCCGCTAGAAGTGTGTCCTTTCCGCGAATCATAATATTAGCCGTGCCACGCGCTCGGCGCGACCGACGGTTGCGATTGACATACGACTGATCTTGTAATCTGTAATAATATGTTATTATACACATCACGAATATCATAAAACAGCATGTCAAAAATCAGTTATTGCAAAGTAAATCTTGATGACGATCATTTTATGACTTAAAATCCATCATTTCAATGTCACACTGACGTTTTTGTGATTAACATCTTGTTCTACTTGGGGTAACGAATCTTTCCTTCTAGCGTGAACTCGTAAGAAGCGAAACATTTCGTTAAAGAATTTAATATTCAATGAAATTTTTCATTTTTACGAGCTTTTGCTAGAAGAAAAGATACGGAAAGTAATCGAGCTCCCGGGGGTGCGCGTGCGAGCCGTGTTGTCAGATGCAGGGACGTAGAATCCCCCACCACCGGACACCGGACTCGACCGGACGTCGGGCACCGCCGCATGCGTACTGATGCGTACTGCGTAGTGTGTGTCAGTGTGTGTCGAGCGCGGGGGAAGAGTGGTGAGGAGTTTCGCGTCTCTCGGTCTACCAGCTCCGCGTACGTGTTCGTGCAGGTTCGCGCGCAAGAGAGCGCGGCGGGAGAGGAAAAGGGGGAGCGGAAAGGTACAAACAGCGCGCGACTTCCGTCAACATTGTTAGCGGTATAACGTTCGTGTCACACGAATTATTGTTTCTTTGCAGCCTGCGTCGGACAGATCGAGCCAAGAAATGGAACGGAGTTTCACGGAGCGGCACGTTTCACCGCGCCACCGGCCGCTCGACAGCGATCGCGGAATCGACAGCGAGGATGACGTCGCCGGCAGCTCGAGAGAGCTCGGAAAGTGTAACGTCACCGACGAGAGCAACGACAACGATGCTGACATGTCGAACAATATGACGTCGGAAAAGTGAGCATCTTTTCGACGGAGCCGCCGTTCGTCTCGTCGAGGCTCGAAATCCTCGATAATTCGTACTTGTCCATCTTTATGTTGGTCCGAGAAAAAGGAAACCGCGGACGATCGGCGGCTGCGATTACGGGGGGGGGGGACTTTTTTTTTCGCGACAGCGAAGGTTACGCAGGGCCTAAATTCCGTACACGATTACCGACGACCATCGATACGTTAACGACGTTTGCGCAGCTTTTTCTACATTATAGAAAAGCTGCGCAAACGTCGTTAACGTATCGATGGTCGTCGGTAATCGTGTACGGAATTTAGGCCCTGGACGGTAAGGGCGACGTCCCACGGAATTAGCGGATCGTCAATCGCGAGCTCGTTCTGATAGAGCCCTTTCGGAAATTCCGTCGAAACGGTCCTGTGACTGGCGATCCGCCGATTCCGCTTTCGCGTACTACCTAAGGGCCCGAGCAGAAAGATTGTCGTCGCCGTTTACTATTATATATTCCACCAAACGGATTTCACTCCAAGGGCAATAAGTTCACGGTGGAACCAACAGACGACGCCTATTAATTTAGTAGAAACTCCGCTGTCTCAAAATAAGGGACTTTACATATATATTTGTAGCGCTCTTGTAATCCTATTTTATCTGCACGTTTGTACACACGTGCATTTACGTTGCATTTTTTAAATACAGTTCAAAATTTATATTACATTTTCTCTTCTTTTTCCCCCTTATTCTCTTCTCGCACACCTGCCATTTGCTGTAATTACATGTTGAGAATAAAATTGTAAATTAATAAAATTAATTGCAAATTATTAAAATGTAAGTGTTAATGAACATGTTCTTGTAAATTTTTTATAGGGACAAATTCAGTGACGACGACACGCCAATCCTGCGTCTGGCCAGACATATAAATAGCGGGAGGTATAATGTAATGGATAACAGTGATGAAGGGACCGACGACGATGAAGATAATAGCGCAAAGTATCGTGCAGTTACTGACCTCAATAAGACTTCTGGTTTAGGTGAACAATATGCTTTGAATAAAGATTCGCGTGGTACCGCTGTGACATGTAACATTGCGGGGCGGTATATTTTAGACATCCGTTGCTAAAATATAAGATTTTTACTCGTTCGTTTTATGTAGACTTTTATTTCTATTATTTTTCTATTATATAGGTTCTTCCGGTTCACTGAACGAAACCGAGGATACAAGAAGAAAATATGTTTCCCGTGACAATACCAGGGAAGGCATACAAGAATTAAGACCCAATTCTTCTAGTGAGATTCTTAACACGGATTTTGTTAACATTGATCATTCGTACGGACAAAGTAATACCAACTACAAACCAGCAAGTGCAAAAGGTAAAGCGTTTGACGACGAACCAGTGACTGTGGACCTCGATTTAGGTATCTTCAAGTCAAATGTATAGATTTTAATCTTGGTTAACTTCGATCTCGGTCGTTACTTTTTATCAATTTTTTTTAATTCTCAGAACTAGAAAAAAAGAACAAGCAGCTTGAGCCGAAGTCGGAGTTAATTCACGTCTAATATTTTTTTGTCGATGTAATAGCTATGTATTTTCTACAGATTTTGAACAAAACAGCGAATCTGAGTTCGCAACGTCTTTTGCAATTGAAGATATTGAAAATGTGAATCCGGCAGTAGCACGGAACAGAGCAACTGAGATTTCCAAATTAGACCAGTGTAAAAGTGATTCTATCACGATTAAAGTAAATATGAGATACGTTTAATTGCCGATGGAATATTAAGTAATGTAAACAGACGTATGTCATATCCGATGTATGTGTGGCTAAATCATATGCGAAACGTGTTTTTAGCGACCATTCACTGGAGAAAATATCCAATATTTGTTCGAGAAAAGACAGAGACTAGAAAATTGCATGCGCCAAGAAGCAGGGATCTGCACGTTAACACGCGAAATGGAGAACACTCCTTTACTTTCGCTATCCAGTAGTTCAGGATCCTGTAGTATCTCGAACGTAAGCCAGGAAGTAGTAGTGCACACTTCGCATTTCGCACAAAAATCCCAGTCTTTCAACGTGTCCTCAGATTACTCGGATCTAGAGGATCTAGAGTTCTCAGATTTTCAAGATTACTCAGACCCGAATTACTCGGATGACGATTCCACAGACGACTCGTATTCATATTTTGACGATATGCTAACGAGACCCAGACGTTCCTGGTTTAAGAAACTAGAAAGTGCGCGAGCCGCAAATAACAAAGATCGTGTTTTAACGATTGAAGGATTACTAAATCTGCACGGATCGCTCGTAGCTTGTCCGTCGGAGAATGTAAAGGTAGAAGACCCGATGGGATTGAATGTGGAGTTGATGCCGCACCAACGGCACGCTCTCGCATGGCTTCTGTGGAGGGAGAACCAGAAACCATGCGGTGGCGTTTTAGGTGAACATTTACAAATGATAGCAATTTATGCAATGTTAATTACATCAATATTAAATAAAGTAGCGTTACTTTTGTATTGTCAATTGGGCAAAAACGTATTTAATCAAGTTGTTTTCGATTGTAGCCGACGACATGGGCTTGGGCAAGACGCTGACTATGATATCTTTGATTGTGACCGATCTTTATAAGAATATTCCTGATGATAGTAACGATAAAGAAGAAAGTAACGATAAAGACAAATGGATTAACAAGAATAAACCTTCATGTATGTAAGAGTTTGATAGAATTTTATAGAACCCGGTAGAAAACAATTCTCGTCCGTCTGTACTTTTCTAAGTTGTTTGTATTCTTTTTTTTTTTGCTTTAAATAAAATTACGATACTGTATGTAGTATCAGTTATAACAATTGTGATATAAATGTATTAAACGCAATGAATTGACACAGTTACGTTAAATAACGTGATTAACATTACACAGATCCCAAAGGTGGTACTCTTGTTGTTTGTCCCGCGTCCTTGCTGGCACAGTGGAAAAACGAAGTTTGGAATAGATGTGAACGCGGTCTACTATCCGTCGAGATGTACCACGGCAATAACCGACAGAGCGTCAGCACGAAATTGACAAAGAATAATATAGTCATCACAACGTATCACATATTAACTCGTGAATATAAATTCAGTTCTACATTGTACAAGGTATACTAGAGCTTGTAAACGTTTGACAGAGTACGCAAGTAAACAAATTTTAATCTGATCAATGCCTGTAATGCACATCTATAATTGAAATTTCCTTGCAGATCCACTGGGAGAGAGTTATACTCGACGAAGCTCATATAATAAGGAATCCTAAGAGTCAAGGGTTCGAGGCGGTCTGTAAACTGTCAGCAAACAAACGATGGTGTCTCACCGGCACGCCTATACAAAATAAGGAGTTGGATTTATACTCTATCCTGAAGTTTCTCCGGTGCTCGCCGTTTGACGATATACGCGTGTGGAAACGTTGGGTTGATAAGAAGGACAAAGCGGGCCATCAAAGATTGGCGACGGTCATGAAGACGCTGATGTTGCGGAGAACTAAAGAAGAATTGATGGCGAAAGGCGAGATAGAAAATTTACCTGATAAGTCTATCCAGGAAGTGAAAGTGTACCTCGATGATGAGGAACAATTAGTGTACCAGAAAATTTTAAAGTACTCCCGCACTTTGTTCGCGCAATTCTTAGCTCAACGCGAGGAGAAGCAACGCAGCGGTTCTTACACTTCTTACGGCGGGGCGTATAGTGGGACGTACAGTGGGACGTACAGTAAGCCTACCCATTTTTTCAACTCTGGTAAGATTTCAAATAATACGATGAGTCTTGTGCGTTTACGCGATCACCGAAATGCGTCGACATTTATTCTAACATTCTTTTTCCAAGCCAAGGCAAGTCCGTTGACAAAGGCACAAAGCAAATTGCTGCAGATGCATACCAACGTAAAGACATATGAGATTTTGGTACTCCTCCTACGACTGCGTCAGGTATGCTGCCATCCGGCATTGATCCGCGCGATGCTGGATCAGGAAGACGTGAAGCAAAGCGGAATAATGGATATGGAAATGGAGGATGCCGATTTCTTCGCCCATGTGAAGAACATGCAACGCAACAGTAACGATTACGCGAAAGAGAAAGACCTCGGCTTCGATCCGAGAACAGTGGCGAATCTACTACTTAGCCAGGAAGAAGGTATTGATAAGAAAATACTCGGAGATATACTCACCTCTGACAATTCCGTGTTCGACGACGATCGCAGTAGTTCTAAGGCAAGTGGTATTTGTATAATCTGAAAGACTTTGTCGTTTTTATGTGATTAATGCAATGTATAATGTATAATGATTCAGATGAAGGTGCTGCTCCACATAGTTCAAAAAATTTTACAAAAGGATGATGACAAGCTCATCATTGTTTCACAATGGGCTAAGCTACTAGATGTCATAGCGTCGCGCTTGTCCTTGATAAAAGGCGCTACTTATAGCAAGTTTACAGGAGGTGTCGCCATTAAAGATCGACAAGTATGGATTATGGATATCAATACTGCAATTACTTTTATCGTATTTTATCCGGGGAGTAAACCGCTGAGGGTTTTGTGACATTAGTTTGGGTATTAGGCTTTGCTTGGGGTATTATAAAGATAAAATAAGATAAAACGAGATAAATAAGATAAAGTAATGCCAACTGGGCATTAGTAGGCATTGGTGTTCATGATTTTGGGCAGCGGTTTACCCATAGACTAAGCTACGGCCCACCATGCATAAGTCTATGGGTTTATCTCTCGATTTTATCTTGTTACGGAAAAACATAAAATTACATCTTTTCTTTCAGGATGTAGTGGATTCTTTTAACAGCCAACATTCCGGCCCGAGAATTCTGTTGCTCTCGCTCACTGCTGGCGGGGTGGGATTAAACTTGGTAGGCGGCAATCATTTGTTGTTATTCGACATTCATTGGAATCCACAGTTAGAGACGCAGGCGCAAGATAGGATTTATCGTTTTGGTCAAACCAAGAATGTCTACATCTACAAGTTAGTGTACCGTTGTTGATTTCTATGCGCATACATCCCTTGCAAAGTTTATTTTCATGTCTTTGCGTTTCAGGTTTATTTGCGTTGATACGATAGAAGAGCGCGTTAGAGAGTTGCAAGAGCGAAAACTTGAGATAGCACGGAACGTGTTGAGCGGTGACAGAAGCAACGCGGCTACGAAGCTTACGCTGAACGATCTGAAGTCGCTATTCGGCTTCTGATTTGTTTCATCTTGCAATAATAGAATTAAATCAATGACGATAGAACATGCTTTAATTCTATTATTAATCATAATGCAAAACATTTTGAGTATAGATATTGTTCTATATTGTTCTATAGTTTAAAAGTTTAAGTGATATTCCTTCACAACAGTTTTCATAACAAACGCGTGCGCGTTGTATTAAATAAAACAGATGTACCGCTATGTAACTCCTCTATGGACGGTATATTATTTTTTTTATTAAGTTTATTAATCTACATATTTAATATATGATTCTAATCTAACTCTTCGATGTATATTACGTATTATTTGTTATTATTTTGTGAGTTCTCTCAAGCCAATAACGTGTTAAAGTGACATTTTTGCGACTATGCAAAATAGGACAAATTAAGCGTTTATTTTAAAGTCACTTTAGGCTATAGAGGATTAATATTTTTTTAAACATGATTTTGTATGCTATATGTTGCTCTAAAAGTTATTTTATTTTATTTAAGTGGTAGATTCATTAAATTAAGATACAATAAAGTATCAATTTCTGTTTGTTACTACGTTGTAGTTAATATTCTATTACATTTTGTTATGTGTACGCAATAATAAATCACAAAGGCAATACTGCATTAAAGCCCAATTATTTATGTTGCTGATAAAAAAGTTTATAGTTAATGATATCGATATATATGTCCGTCAAGCATATTGTGTCCAAGTTCCAAATCCGCGTTGATCCAGTAGGACGATATCTTTAATAATATCCCTGGTAAAAATTCCGTTAGAAACGGATAGAACATGCATTAAATTCTGCGAAAACGCATAGTAGAACAGTCAGAAACAGATAGAATTTAATGCATACATATATGTTCTATCCGTTTCTAACGGAATTTTTACCAGGGATATCAAACAAGATTTATTTTTTATTCCTGGCTGCACAAGCACAAGAAATCTGCACTAAAGTGTTCTTTATTGTGAAATAGCTGGTATCAATGCTTTTTTTTAATTGTAACTAGTGCAAGAGTTCGCTGCACTGGGCAACAAAAAGATAGAACTACATGTTATCACTCTATAGGCGATCTTTGGCGATTATTTGGTGCATATACCAAAGTGTACCGGGGTGTACACTCGGCGTTACGAATGCTTTTACATCTGAAAAATTCATTTTATTAAAATAAATTTTTCTATTGGATATCTTTAGCGTTTTTCTTCAGGTGTAAAGGCATTCATGTGACGCTGAGTGTACACTCCGGTATACTTTGGTGTACGTGTGTACCAAACAGTCGTCAAAAATCGCCTCAAATTATTAATATGTATTGTTCTATATTTTTTTACAGTTACAATAACAATAGTTCTATATTTTTATATAGAATATAATGTTCTTTAAATATTTTCGATGAAATTATGTACTCGTCAGAAGAATTTCATAATTCCACACAGTCAGGGGGTCACTTCTGTATCTTACAGTGAAGATATTAAAAGTAAACAGCTTTGTCTCCTAACCGTGCCCTCAGAAAGAGGCAGAGCCGCGCTCACTTTTAGCATTTTCACTATATTGTAAGAGATACAGAATTGACTCCCCAGGCGTAGCTAAAATCAATCGTGTGATCAACTGATTGCGTGAGATCGATTCAAACAGTTTTGAATTCGCGTCGCGATCGGCGCCGCGAGGAAATCGTCAGCGGCGCGCCGCGGCGATACATCGAGCGATTCGACTCTTGCATCGAGGCGCCTTAACAAATCCCCTAGTGCCGCTCTGCCGTTGGCAGCGGATTTAAAGACTCGACGGTAGTCCGTTGTCTCACGTGGGAATCGTGGGACGAGACCGTGCGACGAGTTCGTGCTGATTTCTGGCGATTTGCGTAAGTCACACTCGTGCAACGTTTCAACGGTTAATGGTACCAGGCCTGGACGGACGAGAGGGCGAACGGCACGCGGCTTTTTGTTTCGTTTATTGTCCACTTGTTCACGTTACGCCTTTTAACTGATCGTGTTCGAGCGAGGAGATGGAAGGCAGTTTCACGCGGTGGCGTGACTCCAGCAGGCTCGACGGCGGTTCCTTCGTGATCTCCGACAGCGACAACGACAACGACAACGACAACGACGTCGCGAATTCTAGAGAGGACGAGGAGCATGTCATCATCGACGAAAGCGACGAGGATATCACCGACGTGTCGAACAACGTGACGCCGAGAAAGTGAGCATTCAGACAGCACCAGACGCTCACGTGAACGTTTGAAGAATATTCTTCAAAGAATATCTGGAATATTCCACGGGTCATTCTTGTACAGGGTGTTCCAAAAAAAATGTTCGATATTTGTATGGTAGATAGGAAACGCCATTACTGAGTAAATGATGCCTATTAATTTAACAGAAACCCTGCTATCTCATATTAAGATCCTATCTCATAATAGAGAACGTAGAGGACTTTACGTATATTTACTTTCCCCACTCTTGCAACGTATTGTTCCAGCAATTCTTCGTGTTCTTACATTTATATATTGCCCTTGGAAATTATACCGTGGATCTCCAACTGAAATTTTTACAGCTTTCTTGCGTTATTTATTTGAATCCTCAATAAATACACGAACGTTACGCATATTCTTACTGCTCTTGCAATCTACTTTGTCCGCGCATTTTTACGTCTTTGCATTTACATTTTTTTCAGTACAGTTATAAATTTTTATTAAATTAATAATAAGTTCCCCATCCTTTTTCTTTTTATATATTTATCACATTGTACCATTTATCGTAATTATGTGTTAAATTATTAAGCAACTAAATTTTCAACTCGGTCCTTTCAGGATACAAATCAAGTTACAATGTAAACGCCTTTATTTTTTAAGGACCTGGCGCAGATGGAGGTGGCCACTTGAATTGTCATGGGAATCCGCACACCGTACACCTAGGACACCCGTCACGGATTGAGGGAGGTCTCAGGTTCGAGTCCTGGCTATTCGCAGGATAATTCAAGTGGCCACCTCCACCTGCGTCGGGTCCTTAAAAAATAAAGGCGTTCACATTGTAATTTAAATTACTAAAATTAAACTAAATTAAAATACAAATATTAATCGAAAGAAACACTTGTTAACAAACACTTTTATATAGGGACAAATTAGATGATGATGATGATGATACGCCAATTCGTCTGCCGAAGAAAACTGGTAAAAAGTATAACAAGATAGATTCCGATTACGAGCAGGCCAATGACAATACGCCGATTCAGCTATCCAAAACAGTAAAAAGAAAACCTCGTAAAGAGTATAATGTAATAGATTCTGACAGTGATTGTGAGGAAACCAATGATGACACTACACCAATTCACGTACCCAAAGCAAGAACTAATAAAACGAACAAGACAATAGATTTTGTTGACAGTGATTACGAACCAGTTGATGATGACGACGATAATAGCGAAATCGATGATGATGATGATGAAAAATATCATTCATTAAAGGATGTCAATGATTCTGATACAGGTAAAGACTAAATTGCATATAAAACTATGGTATCATGTATTATAGAAATACTGTGTACTTCGAACATGTGTTGCTAAAATAATATTTTAAAATTTTGACTCACTTGCATTTTTCCACGTACATATTTTACATGATCTCTGTTATCTTTGTTGTTTTATATAGATTCTTCCCTTTCATCATCACCGATTGTAACCAAGGGTACAAAAAGAAAAGACATTAGTCACAATAACACCAAGGAAAACATAAAAGGATTAAAGGTTGATTCCTCTAGTGACTCTATTACTAACGTGAATTCGACTGATACTGATAGTTTAGATGAGCAAGATAATGACTACAAAAGAGCAGACGTGGAAGATAAACCCTCTCACGACGCACCTGCGATTGACCTTGATTCAGGTAACTATTTATATCAAATGTACAGATTTTATAATTTTGGATTGATAAACATTTTTATACGCAGTACAATGCACTGAATATCGTCTATATGCAATATTTTTTTTACAGATTCTACTAGTTTTACAGATTCTACTAGTTTTACAGATTCTACTAGTTCCGGACAAGTCAGCGAGTCAGAGCTTGTAATGTCTTTCGCGAGACAAAGCATCGGTGGAAATGTGGATCCAGTAGCAGCGCAGGAAAGAGCACTAGCGGTTTGCAAAATAGAGAAGCTTAAAACTGAGTCCCTTAAGTTGAAAGTAAATATGAGATATATTTAATCGCTGATGAAATAATGTAGACGGGTTCGGTGGTGTGTGTCACATGTACAGGAAAGTCCCCTATTATGAGACAGGCACCTAATATGAGGTAGCGGGTGTATCTGTTAAATTAATAGGCATCATCTGTTGACTCCACCGTGAATTTATTGCCCTTGGAGTGAAACCTGTTTCGTGGAAAATTCATTGTTTGTGTAATTTTCGTTGCGAAAGAAGATTTGTGATTGAATTTGGGTATTGAAAACCTGCTATCTCATATTAGAAACCCATCTCATAACAGAGGACTTTCCTCTATGTATATAGCTAAAACATATATGTATATATGCATGGTTGAAAAAATTACTTTATAAAAGTGTCTAGTTACAGTTGCAGTTTTTGCTAAAAATGTAACTACATACATTTACTAAAAAAGTAACGAATCGTTACTTTGCTGTTACTTTCTTGCAATAAAAATAAAAATATGAAATATGCATTTGAATGGTAAAGCGTCGATAAAGGCATTTGCGCAACTTTTCTATCATGTAAAACACCTGATAGAAAAACATGATAGTTGTCGGTAGTCTAGTACAGAATGGAGTCCTCGATGGAAAGAAAGTAACGAAGTTAAGTTAGAGTTACCAAAAAAAGTAACTGTAACTGTAACTTTGTTTCAACTAACGAGTTACTTCCCAACCCTGTGTATATGTATGTGTAATGTGTTTCTAGCGATTACTCACCGGAGTGCATGTCGAATTATTGCCCGATAAAGGAGAAAAACTGCAAGAATCCATATTGCAGAATGAAGAAGAAATCACGAGATTGACACTCAAATTAGAAAATACTCCATTGATGCCTTCTAGTAGTCGAGGAGCTCAAGTAACAGAAAAATCGAGCCTGACGAAAGAAATATCACAATTGAAAGATAAGCCGCACTCGGGTTATACGTACGATCCATACTTGAATATCGACAGTATACCAAAAAAACCTACCACATCTTTCCACTTGAATGAACTTGGCGAAAAAGCACAAGCGACATACGAACAAGAGCTCGCTTTAACAGTTGAAAGATTGGAAGATTTACACGGATCGCTCGTAGATCGTCCATCGGACAATGAAAAAGCAGCAGATCCCAGGGGACTGAAGGTGCAGTTATTGCCTCATCAACAGCACGCTCTTGCATGGCTTCTGTGGAGGGAACAGAAAAAACCAGCCGGTGGCGTTTTAGGTAAATGTAAACTAACAATCTGTAATAATTCTTAATCATAGAGGAAAGTCCTCTATTATAGGATAGGGTTCTAATACGAGATAGCAGGTTTTCAATGTAAATCACAAATCTTTTTTCGCAACGATTACACAATCTAACAATCAATTTCCCACTAAACAAATTTCTATCCAAGCGCAATAAATTCATGGTGGAATCAATTGATAATGTCTATTAATTTAACAGACATCGCGCTATCCCATATTAGGATCCTATTGCATGATAAAGGACTTTTCTCTATTAAGTATTAATTTATAATCAATTTAATTAATTTTATAATTAATCATACTTCATAATTTATCACTAATTTTTATTATTGTCAAATGGTATTTCATCGAGTTGTCTTGGATTCTAGCGGATGATATGGGCTTGGGTAAAACACTGACCATGATAGCTTTAATTATGACCACTCTTACTAAGAAATACAATAGTGAAAGTGATGATGATGACGATGACGACAAATGGACTAGCAAGAATAAATCTTTATGTACGTAAAAGTTTTACGCATGTGAACATTTTATATAATCTAGTAGAAAAAAAACTTTTTGCTATTCTGTAGTTTTGTAAAATAATTTGTTTTCTTTTCTTAACTTCAAGTCATTGAAATCATACTGCATTTTGGCATCAATTGTGACAATTGTGATGTAAATGTACTTGGTACAAGAAATTTATTGATTATTTTATTACATTTAATAATTAACGTTTTGATACAATCAATATTATATATATATATATATATATATATATATATCTATATATATATATGTATATATGTCATTGCAAAGAATCACATTAATTGATTGAAACGTTTGACTCTATAATGAATGTTATTATACATTAAACTTTTTTATTCCGCATCTAACATCCTGCGTCGGTTCTTACTGCCTTCCTTTTTCTTGTATTTATTGATTATGTTGTATATGTGGTTAACGATCCGCAGATCAGAAAGGTGGTACTCTAATTGTTTGTCCCGCGTCGTTATTATCGCAGTGGGAAAAAGAAGTGCAGAACAGGTGCAAACGCGGTTTATTATCTGTTGAAGTGTATCACGGCAGCAAGCGTGAGAACATTCCAAAAAGATTGGCGAAAAATGATATGGTTATCACGACGTACAACATACTGTCTCGCGAACATAAAGACAATTCAACATTGTACAAGGTACACAAAAGCTCGCAAATATCATTTGTACAATGAGTAAACCAATGAATAGAAACTTTAATTTGACGAATGTATAATATTGTCATTTATCCTGAGTTTTTAGTGTGATTGGAAATTGCAATTTCTTTGCAGATCGATTGGAAGAGAGTTATACTCGATGAGGCTCACATAGTAAGAAATCACAAGAGTCAAGCGTCCGAAGCGGTCTGCGGACTGAAAGCCAGAAAACGATGGGCCCTCACTGGCACGCCTATACAAAATAAGGAATTAGACTTGTATGCTATTTTAAAGTTTCTCAAATGTTCACCGTTCGATAATCTACGTATGTGGAAACGATGGGTAGACAATAAAAACGTTGCGGGCCAACAAAGATTGGCGACGGTCATGAAGACAGTGATGTTGCGAAGAACTAAAGAAGAACTGATGGCAAAAGGTGATTTAGAAAATTTACCCGACAAGTCTGTCGAGGAAGTAATGGTGCAACTCGACAAGCAGGAAACACTGGCTTATGAGAAAATTTTGGTTTACTCTCGCACTTTATTCGCACAATTCTTATCTCAACGTGCAGAAAAACAACACATGCTCGAATTGCATGGTGGGAAGTTTGATATGCCTGCCTATCTTTCAAACCCAAGTAAGATTTTAAATAATACGCTATGGCCCGGTTTCACCATAGTATAACTAGTAGGTCCACTCTCTGCCGG